TTGATAGATTGAGAAATGATGGAAATATTTACTTATAGAAAGCTAAATTTTTTTTTTTTTGAAAATATTAATAGAGTTTTATGTGCAAGTTTGTCAATTTTCCATTTAAAGAATTGAAAAATAATTTTTCAGTTTCTAAAAATTTAATTAAAATTCGTAAATATGTTTAAATTGTTTTCCACAATCTTTTTATAACAAAAATTATATTTTTAAATTGTTTTCATTTAAGAAAAATACTTTTTATTATTAAAATTAATATACATATATATAATTTTCAAAAAACATATTTTTAATGAAAATTCATAATAAAATAGGTAAATAATTTAAGTAAATATTTAATTTTCTACGTCATACTTTAAAATGTTATTAATTTTGTTATTACATAAAACTATATTTATAATGTAACATTTATGTTAAAATTTTTTTTTAGAAAATGATGAAAAAGTGATTTATTATTATTAATAAATTAATACATACTTCCAAAATCCCCATCCAAATCAACAACTAAAAGCAAATCATAAAAATTAGGATGGAAGGACTAAACTGTTAAATGGTTTTAAACTATAAGGACACTTTCGTATATTTTAAGCAGTTAACTCCATTAAACCACAAGGACTTATTAGTAATTTATCCTACTAAAAATATTAAAAAAAGAGCCGGCCAGCTCTAAATGTATAGCTATAGCTCTTCTTCCGGACGTGTGCATGATTTCCACGTTATAGACAAGGTCAGTGTTAGTTACAAAAATTTTGTTGACTGGAAGTATTATAACTTGGTTGGTTAGCTTATCACATTCTTTTGATACTTTCTTCCTCTTATGCATCTCCGATTGCTCTTCCTTTGTAGCATTGATTTTGAACATCATTTTTTAATGACTTTTGGTTCATAGGTACCAATATTATTTCCTTAACGTTTACACTCAATTTAAATATTTCATTAATCCTCAACTTACAAATATACGATTAAATTCTATGGGTAACATAAAAATTAAATTGCAAGTTGCAGTTACAAAATGCTAAAAGTTTGATCATAAAATCCGTATGAACGTTGAAAAGTACTAGATCTTTTAAAACAACTTTTTTCTGTATGATTATAAACCTACTTCCTTTCTTTTAATGCACTTTCGATTATCAATCTATCATACTTCCGGAGTCAAAGTACATAAATTTTATGCAGGACATAACCAAATCATCTCAAAACGTGTTTCTTTTATTTTATCCCAACTTATCTAGTTGAATTTTTCTTTTGTAGGATGTAATGTTTATGATATGCTAAGAAAATTACAGTATTAAATGAAGACATATATGGCAATGGCACATATACCAGCAAATGATATGGTGCTTGATGGGATTCTAAAGCCATTTAGACCGGGCAGAAAGAGAGAGAAATTTTGTTGCAGTCAGCTTTAGTGATATATATATATATATATATATAGTTTATCGGTAAACGTAAATTAATAAATTACTTTATTTTTCCCACCGTTTCTGTATGCGTATTGAAATTGAAGAATTAGACCAAAAGCGGAAAGCTTATATGGATTCTAATCGACCGATTTGTCCATTTTCCATGCGTGCATTCCTTCTTCTTGCTTCTCTTTTTCATTTTTTCTAGTCACTGCTCATGTTCTGCAAACTACTACTGACTTGACAACTTTAAATATATAGTGGCAATAGCTGGTAACACCCCCTGCAATTTCTACTATTCATCCTCATCTTTTATATATATATAGTGGCAATAGCTGGTAACACCCCCTGCAATTTTCTACTATCATCCTCATCTTTTATATATACTATTCTATATATATATATATTAATATAGATATTTTTCCCTTGTAGGAATTTATTCACTAATTAGGATTAACACTTGTTTTTTAATATTTCCTTGTAGGAATTTATTCACTAATTAGGATTAACACTTGTTTTTTAAGATGCTTGAGAGGATTTTCAATAGCTATTTGCGGCACGTCAAACCTATAAGATAAATCGCAACCGAAATTTTCTCTATTCACAAGGATCAGACCTATAAGATAAATCGCAATCAAAATTTTCTCCATTCACAAGGATCAAACAGTCTTTTTTTTTTTTTTCTCCTTTTAAATTTGTGAATTTAATGGAAAAAAAACCCTTCTCCTCAATGCTAAAATATAAAATTAGTGCTTTTAAGATAATTAATAGATATGAAAATGGCTTGAAGAAAAGATATAAAAAGTTCAAAATCTCGTCAACATAAAATCATTATCGTTAATCAAAAAGAGGGCACGGTGATTGCGGAAGCTCCTTTCACACTTCAGAGTTGCTTTTAAACAGCTGATTTATAACTGTAACCGAAGAGCTAATAACAAACTCTGTCAAGAAATAATGACGGGTAAATGATTTGGAGAGAAGGATCATCACTACGCTCCTACGAGTGGTTTTGAATGGTTGGTGATGCTGTGCTGGGTAGCTCTCTCTCTACTGAAAAATGACAGGAAATAATTCGCAACCATTGGGTCATTATTTTTATTATGGAACATAAACTTCTGAAAAAGGAATAGTTAGCATTCCATTTGGTTTTAAGTGAATTCAAAATGTAGAATTCACTTGGCTAATCAATTAGCTATCTAATTAGATATAAAAATAACATAGTTAATAATTTGTGCTTTTACCTTTACTTTTGTTTTTGAAACATATGCAAGTCTTGTTTTATTTTTTTCATGAGTTTCTTTTTCTGGTATTATATCAATCTCGTTTTAAATTTATTGCTATTTACGAGATTAATTTCATTTCAGATGATTATTAGTACTGTTAATTAAATATTTTATTATCTTAAGAAAAGGCACTCAATTGCCACTAACACTAATAAAAGAAGACAAGAGCTTTTGGTGAGACAATGAGGTTACTATGATTGGTTTTGGTTGCTTATACAATCACTATAGATTTGCCCATGAAATTTACACTATAATATCTATTACGGTCTTATACTATCAGATTTTAGTAATAACTATGCTATTCGTTAAAATAAAATATAAAAGTGCAATAAGTCTTTTCGTTTACAGCAGTTGCTTTTGCGTTCGCTTCTTAAGAAACCAACAAAGCGTAAGAGCAAGAAGTTCATTAGCTAAGTAAGGAGAATTTTATAGTTTATGGCAATTAAACACTTTTAAAATTATTTTATTTTGATAAAAATATAATTATTATTAAAATGGTAAAGATTACCGTAAATTTGAAAGTAACGAATTTCAAGGCAAATTAGTGCATTAGGCACTTTATGACTTAGGTAGTAGCGGAATAGTTGCTGAATGGAAGAACAGAAAAATAAAAAGAACCAACAAAATAAATCTGCATGATGAGATTGACATGACAAGAATGCCTGAAATGGGGGGGCCAGAAATACTATAAAAAAGCAAACAAAAGAAATGTGCATCGCATGATAATGAGATGATATGACACTAATGCCTAGATATAATAGTATGATGGTTTTTGGCTTTATCCGCCAATCATTGCCTCTCTAAACCAAAAGTGAGGACAATGAAGCATTAGCACCACATACGCATACAGTACAGACAGTATAAATACATTAGCTGAGCAGACGTTGTACGACCCCAGCAAATTCTCACGACACTCTCTATTTTAGAGTCACTACGCATTTCCACTCTTTTCGTACTTTTCTACCTGCTAGAACACGACTTAGGAGTTGCGACTCTTCTTAATCTTATTAACATTTCTTTTAGACATTAAAATAATTATCAAGATTATGATCAACTATTACTATTTTTTATTTCTTTTTTAAGAATTGGAAATGAGACTTTGAACTTGATTCATCTTGTATATATATTTACTATTAGATTGTATTTTTTGTACAATTATCTATTCTTTTGTTGCAGTTTACAAGCCAAACATTATCTATTTTGAAAAATTAGATATTTGAAATGATTACTTTAAGCTTATGTTTTAAGTGTAAAATCAATATTATATCAAATCATATGCTCAATGTTAAAAATGACTAATTAAATGCTCTTCAAAGAAAAAAAAATTTACTCAGCCGTATCAAATTATGAATTCCAAGTTAAGCTTCAGGTTCAGTAATTTCTTATACACATAATTTAAAATTAAATATTTGATGAAATAACATACATATTTACAATGAGTTCTAAATATGAATAACAAAAAAAAAAAAAAAAAAAAAAAAAAAAAAAAAAAAAAAAAAAAAAAAAAAAAAAAAAAAAAAAGCACAGTGACTAAAAAATTTTTAAAATTGTGAATTAGAAATGAAGTTTCTTCTAAGCTGGAAATTTGGCCACTGCACAAGTTTTCAGACTAACTGTTATGTTCAGTAAACCAAAAAAAAAAAAAAAAAAAAAAAAAAAAAAAAAAAAAAAAAGCATCAGTGACTAAAAATTTTAAAATTGTGAATTAGAAAATGAAGTTTCTTCTAAGCTGGAATTTGGCCAACTGCACAAGTTTAGGACTAACTGTTATGTACAGTAAACCAAACAATTTTATCCAAACCAAATGTTCAAACCCTAAAAGAATAAATTAAGGTAAAGGTAGCCAACAGTCAAATAGTAAAATATTATTTATTGGAGCTGTTTTGTTGAGGAGGACAACGGTGAAAATTAAAAGGACCAAGTACTTACATATCACAAACGTAGGATACATGGCTAATTAGGTATATTTGGTCAAAATTGCTATTTTTGAAGGGTACTGCCCTATATGTATGTATTCTATATGAATCCAATCTAGTGCAAGACAAAGCAACTAAAGTGGAACTGGAATTTCCCATCACTTTTCAATTATTTTTTTATTTTTTATTGTTTATTTCCATATAGAGCAAGGTTACGCCAGGAAAAAGTTAAAGAGAAACAGAATATAGGGCCCCTACTTCAATTCCTTTTTGGGATTATAATTAAATTTGTGTAAACAGTGTATCCTATACACGAGGTAATTTGTATTTATTCATAGAAGTGTGTGATTTCAATACATGCACAAGTCTCCTTTCTATATAAAAGCCTTTCACATTCACATTTCTTTACCATACACGCACAAGCTTTTGGAGAGTTCAGCAAGAAAGAAGAGAGATGGAGAATAAACAAGTGAAGCCACGGGTCAAGAAAGGTTTGTGGAAACCAGAGGAGGACTTAATACTCAAGAATTATGTGGAGACTCATGGAGAAGGCAACTGGGCTACCGTGTCTGAAAAATCAGGTATTATTTATGCACAATAGAGAAGCTTTTGGATTTAGGCTAATTTTGATGTATGATTGTCCTTGCAGGTTTGATGAGGGGCGGGAAGAGTTGCAGACTGAGATGGAAGAATTACTTGAGACCTAATATTAAACGTGGAGGGATGTCCCAAGAGGAAGAAGACCTCATTATTAGGATGCATAAGCTTCTAGGCAACAGGTAAGTGCTTCCCTTGTTACTAGTAATAATATAGTCTTCAATATATATACAGATTATAAAGCATTCCAACTAGAAGCAGATCTGCAATCTATTTTTCGTACCTGTAGATGGTCGCTTATTGCTGGTCGACTGCCCGGTAGAACCGACAATGAAGTGAAGAACTACTGGAATACCCATTTGAACAAGAGATGCCATCCTGGGAAAAGACAAGGCACTGACTCAAACATCCACCAGAATGGCAATGGCAATGGCACTGGTGATGATGACGAGAACAAGACCAAGAGGCAATGCATTTCTCAGGTCTGCAGCTCAAGTACAAAGAGTATCCCTGAAGAGTTAGATGAAAAGAAAAAGGAGAAAGAAGAGAGAACTGTTACGGATACTTGGATACAAGATGCACAGAGCTGGAACTATTATATTGAATCTCCAATGATGCAAAGCAATAATGATGCATTTTTCTTTGATGATGAGCCTATCATAGCTTACTGGGATTCCTTTGTTTGGTTTGAATCATTCGGCTATAACGGCGAGGAGATATTTTCACATGCAGACCTGCAATCATTGATGCCATAGTTTTCTCATATATTCTCACACGTTCTCTTTCCACCTTGTGAGACCACTTCTATGTTTTGTTGCTGGAGTGATTTTTCCAAGGATTTAACACTGAATATGCTGTCCTTCCTGCACTGTTGAGAAATTTTTTTTTTTATGATAAATTATTAGTGCTGTGTACTAACCAGACAACAATAATGTTTATCACTGACACTAATGCATTTCTTTCTCTAGTCTATGCATATACATATTATCTTCACAGAAGAAACAAGAGGGCTTAAGGGTAATAAACCAATATGTCTTATCGTAGAAAGTGTCCCGCAGCTCCAAGGCCAAAGCGAAGCACCTTCTCAGCACAACACAGAGAAAGGATAAAACAAAAGACGGCCACTTTCCACATTGACAGAAACGGTGATAGAAGACACGAACTTGTCAAGTCCCATAGTTGTTAAAGTAACATCCTCAGAACTAAGTAGCTTAAATAGTGATGACACATCACGACAGAGATTCAATCAAACAATACATGAACCCAAGATTAACATGAAACAGTAATTCACATGAAACGCGCTGACACGGTCTTATCATCCCCATCCCAACCACTCTCTCCCGGAGTGAAATGCATAGGAAATTTAAAGGAAATCAATGATAGAAATAGTAAAATGAGTTGATTAATGAAATATTTACCAACAATTGTCTTTGAATATCAAATATACAAAACTAATAATATATCCATTGAAAATTCAGAAAACAAAGATGATTAATCATGCCAATAGATGGCTTTGCCTCTACAATCCTTCATCCTGTTGAGTATATAACAAACCATTCTCATTCTCAGGAGGCAATGAAGGTGGAGTTCCAGGTGGGACACAAGCAGCACCGTTTTCACCAGCACATATACACAGAGCCTCCGCATCCCTGAGGATTGCATCAAGATCAATATGGCCACTAAGTTCATTGATAAATTTCAAGAGAGTGTCAAAGTCCATCTGCTCTCCCATTATCTTGTTGCGGTACCGCTTCAAGATTGCAACACATGCATACAAGTGCAGGTGCTCACACAAATAATGTGTCCATAACACCTCCCATAGACGTATTGTTTTCTCATATTCAAATTCCCTGAAAATATATAACAAGAGTTGAAATATCAGTTATAATTACAGGAACAGAATCTCTTTTGGCTTCTCTGTTTGATCAAATGAAAGGTGTAAGAAATGTCTTAAACAATAGCAGATAACATAAAATGTTGGCAAGTAAGACAAGAATTATGCATACCATTTATTAGCATCGAAAGACAAATCTTAGTAAGTCAAGGATGTATGAAGTGGCAATTTTGACATCAGAAAGACTTCTGAAACATTTTACCTAATATGTTATTATAATGAAAGGCAGTTGGTTACATCCTGATTAATTTTATAAATGATAGAGAAAAAAAAAAAAAAAAAAGAATTAGGATTTCTGCGTGTCTGCTAGCACTAAGTAATTCCAAGGTTTTGGGAGCATGCTTGGCGAACTGTAGCAGAATAAGTTTATAGTTTATCATACTAATGCATTTTCATTTTTCTTGATTCTATTTATTTTCATGTTAGTAAATAATGAGCGCAGAAGACAACCATATTTCAGTTATGGGTTATAGTGTAAAAGCAATAAATCAATATAAAGTACACCAGGAATGTATTTAGCAACAGCAAGAAAAAGACAAGCATCTTGAAAGACTGGAAGGAAGTCCGGCCATCTGACCTTTTAAATTGTATTAGAATCCAGCGGAAACAAAAGAAGTAATTCAAGCAATCATTCTGCTTGAAATAGTTGTGCAATGGACTGTCCAACAACTCCACCAACTGCCAAAATAAATCAAATCAATCAAGCCAAAAAGCCTTATTATTGTCTGACCTAAAGCAAACAGATCTAAACATCAAGGTGGAGCATGAGTGAAAGGAGAGATGCTCATAATGTGGATTTCCACCAGTAAAAGATACAGAAAGGGAGAGACCTTAGATAATGCAAAAAGTTGAGAGTGCATGCCACTTTGGTCACGATTAAAATTAGGTCCAAGGCGTTCCATCAATGCGACAAAACACCAAAATGATTCTGATTCGTCCTCCATCACAAATAAAATAGGAGAGAGTAAATCACTCATACCCTGTGAGACGAGGCAAAAAAAAAAAAAAACATGTAAGTGAAGAAGCAACTAATTAACTACCCAAACAGGTAGGAATGAAACATCCACATGATTAATGATATTTGAACTGCTAAAACTGTCTGATGCTACTTGGGGAAAAAAAAATATGGTACAGCATTAAGGTACAATTAAGTCCAAAAGAACTTGAAATTCTAGCAGAGTGTTTTTATTGTTTTCGACATGATACAAAGAGACAAAAGGCACTACAGTGAAAAACAATGGAGGGAGAGGACTGCAAAGCTCTAGAACTTACCTACAAAATCTAATTGCTTTAAGATATGGCATCTATTTGATGCAAACCAATTACAATGCAATGGTATATATATTATATGATACTTCCAAGTTAGCACGAACAAAAAATTTCTAGAAAAGAAGTATGAAAGGAAAAATCATAAGACTTCATAATTATGGAAAGTAAAACTAGCTATATTTCTGTGAAAGACCAGTAATGAGAAAAGTATTACCTGACAGTAGCCAAGGTCAAAATTATAAAAGGAATACGTCAATAGAATATCACGCAAGACATTCACGTTTGGATTGTCATCCCCATCATAGAAAGGAAGTGATCTGTCAGTCCTCACCTTCAGAGACAGGTAACAGAATTAACTCAAAATCGCATGCATTAGTGATCTAATGAAGTAAAAGTTTGGTCGTATCATTACAAATGTGCTAACAGTATACATACCACGTCTTTGTCTACAAGGCCTTTCCTTTCCCTAAATTTTGTAAATCTCTTTGCCTGTTCAGGAGATATGCTCTGCAGAAAAGGGCAGAAGTAGAAATACATGTATGTATTAAGTCTCAAAGGAACGCTTATTCAGTGGAGAAACAAGCATATGCTGTCCTGACATAATTTCATACCAAACTTAAGTCATCTTACAACAACATTTTGCATCCCCAAATAGAATAAGGCTACAGTATGCACTCCTAATGAACCTAAAGAAAAAGGAGAGTGCACTGAATACATATACAGTCAATTACCTTAATTTTCAATAATTGTTTAGAGGTTGGCACAGGAAAGTGCACAAACAACAAAAAAAATTCAATCCAATTTATAGTTTCCTTTTCACCTTCGCCAACCTAGTTTCTGTTTTGGCCCTACATATCTACACAGGGTCCCAATGATCCTGTATCAAAAATCTTTAATTAAATTTACCACTCTGAAAATACAATCCTTGATGACATTCATATAAAGGGATAATATCCAATCTATGTTAACCACAAATATTGATTCTCTTATGCATCTAATTAAGTAGGTTAACATGGTCAGAAAATTGAACAACACAAATCATGTGTATCACTCTACTTAAAAAAACAAATGCAATAGCATTAGCTAGAACCAAAATGAAGCAAGTCACAAGGCAAAACAGAACAACTATTAAGGGCAGGCAACAAATGACATGTTACAGAAATTAAAGTGGAAATGAAAAGAAAAAAGAGAGAGAGAGAGAGAGAGAGAGAGAGAGAGAGAGGATATATACTAGTCAGGACCTTTGTTTGAAAAATTAATTAATAAGTCTCTACAATTTATCTTTTAAACATTTTAGCCCTTTCGCTTGATTTTTTATTAGATTTACTTAAAATCTCAATTTTACCCTTGACCCAATTTCAATTTTTTCTTTTTACCTGCCACCACCAAATAAACCCAATAACAAAACTTACGAATAATGTGAAAGATAATCTTATTCGAATATTAACTACAACCTACTTGAAACAATATAACCCCCCTCAATCTACAAAACTATAATATAGCATCCTTGGCAGCCCTCTCAAGTGCCATGTGGCTGCTTCAAAGGTGTAAAAAGTCTATAGCATTTTCTCTTTGATTGATCTATTAACATGTAAGATAAATATTGTATTCTTTATGTTTTTACTAGCTAAAAGATTGCATATTTTATTTGTAACCATTGATTCTTCAATTAAATTTTATTTGCAGCAGAGTTCTTATGACTTTAAGAATAACCGTGGTGAACGGGCCATTACCGTCAAACCTAATTATGATACTGAACAGGGAATTCTGGATACTGCAAATTTAAGTTTTTCGAGAGATGAGGAAGAACAAATGGGAGAGTAGATTGGGGATAATTTCGCAATTTAAAATTGAGTTGACTAACTTCACTTTGACCAAAAGAAAATAGAAAAAATCTTAACCGAAAGATAATATGTTTGGTGGAATGAAAATTTAGGGACTATTAAATTAATTTTTGAAAATAGAAGTCTAGACTAATGAATTTCACAGTATGATAGGAACTAAATAGTAATTCGCTCAAACAACAATGAAGAAAACAAGACTACCAATGCAATAAAGAAAAGCAAATTTAAGGCTGATGCCAGAGAGAGGTCGACAAGATGGCAACTGAAAACTCCCGTTCTAGAAAGGAAAAGCACAATAAATAACCCTTAAGACCTTCAAAGACAGACAAGCAAGTTCCACATGGGTCAAGCGATGTAGCATTAAATAAACCAAGAATTTCACCACACCTGCCATTGTTTCTTCACGGTTTCATACTCTAACTTTTTATTGTAACGAAGGCATTCCCTTTCTGCATATGTTGAATCATATGCATGGTATCCCAAGAGAAATGCCCAAACCTACAATCATTATCAACAGTTTTAAGAATGAGACTGATATTAAGCCAAAAGTAAATTTCTTAACATAGTTTTTCACACATCACAAAAAACAGACCTCTCTCCTCAATGTGTGCTCAACTCCTCCATAGAATATTCTCTTTCTTAAAGCTTTGGAATCCATAACTCGTCCTTCAGAATCCAAAAAAGTAGCCCACTGAAGATAAAATAAACTATTAAGAAATAAGACATGATAACTTGACAAACCACATTTAAGAACTTACAAGTCATTACTACTAAAGAAATTCTTCTTTAACATAAAGCTCATGCATAGCAATAGCATAAACTCTATTGTGGAATAGAACACGGTTAATCAGGATGAGATTTATAACCCATGAACTTACAATACTTTAGCCTATAGTCTTAAAAAATAAGATCCAGTATATCACAATAACACCAAAACAGAGTTAAAACAACCACTTCAAGCCAAGGACAACTTCATGGTTACAGGTGCATACTCCTGATCAACTTTCTAGTGCTAGTTGCCTATGAAAAAAAAGCATATCTCATCAAAGAATGTTCGAGGATCTTAGTGTCAAATCAAATAATTGACGGAAAAATACCAAGATTAGACCATATGGACAGCTCGTTACGCTCAAACTTTACTCAAAAGAAAATAATAATTATAGTTTTTGACACGGAATATGCATACCTACCCTGGGACTCAACAAAGTTAAAATCAATAGGGAATAAGATGAACATGCTCGCAGAACCAGAAGAAAATTTGTCAGCATAAAGACCCAAATAAATTACGGGTAGGTTCAGTTCAAGGTAATGATTGAGAAACAAAATAAAAAAATCACAGCAGAATGAACAATAGTGCTAGAAAGTAAAATTGACAGGAATTTCCCAGATAAAGTGTTCATAAATAAAAAACCTGGTATTCAGTACTTGATATGGAATTTTTCTTCACAAAGGAGAGCACTTACCTCTTCAGAACCCAGAGGTGGTTGTCGTGGTTTTCCCCACACAAGTGTCAGTTTGTCAAACTGCCAAAGGATGTGGAAAATGTTAATTCCATGGTCAAAAGAATTATTGTATTTAGTCATCAACAAAGGGAAAAAATTACAAAATGGCATGCAAGTTCCCAAGAAATCTGGTTTATGTTAAACCTTTATGGCTATTATCATCCAAAATTTTCCAGATAGAAAATTCTTAGCTCGATTAGCTCAAATGCTCATTTGTGACCTAATATGAAAATACCAGAGGACCAATTTTTATAAAGCAATGCAACTATCGCATTACCTCCCACTCATGCAAGCCCCTTTGTTCTTATTCCAACTTGGTGTCAGAAAGATCAAGAATCATGATATATCAAAGTACAAGACAGTAACATAACATGATGAACTTAGTTGACCATGATCTTAGTTGACCATGATATAAATTTAAATAAGTTATCGTAGAGATTAGAGGCATGAAAGCAAATGTTAAACATTCTATTAGATGAGCAGAAAATCATACAACGCTATATATCAGTCACAAACTGATATTCACATTGGAAAAAAATAAAATAGAAGGGAAGAAATGAGCCCGAAACTAAAGCGAACTACAAGTATCCTCTTTATACCTCCTTAAAATTGATTAGCTGAAAAGGTCCCACATTGGTGGCAGCTTCTTCACCATGTTCGTGTTTCCTACATAGGTATTTCTGTTTAAAAAGAATGGAGGTCTACATCAGATTGCCCTGGAATAGAAGTTTAATCTGTCTATTTTTCTTTTTTTTCTTTGACTAAAATAACTCAAGATAGCCTGAGCTGAACTAAAAATTTTTAATGATACTTCTATAATAACAACGCAGTTTTATCCTTAAAGTTATATGGCAACAGATCCAAGCAATTCCAACAATCCTGGAAAAAGTTCTAAATGTGACTCTAGACCGAAAAACTAATGGATTTTGACGTCTCATATGATCCATAAGCTGACTTGATACAACTTCATGTGTCTCATATGCTCCATAAGCTGACTTGATAAAACTTCATATGTCATCACAAGACATGAAAACACCAACCATCCCCTGAAGGCTGATAAGAGAAAATGTATTGAGACATTGAGTTCAAGGTAGCCAACTGAAAAATTAATACTCCAATCAATGATACTAAAGTTTTCCACCAAAAAGCCAACTCAATCCTAACAACTCTAAAGCTAACAGCATAAGGTTAATTTGTAGAAGATAGTGAGGAGGAAGGAAGAGCACTAATGACTAGAAAATGATTGTCGTAATTTTACTTTAAACAAAAGATGATAGATAAGGTGCCCTGCAGGCTTGAACTATTCTTGTATATTCACTCTGTACTCTTGTGACCATACGGTTATGCCTTTTTTGTCAGCTCTCAAAAATTACAGCTTCAACAAATTAGTGTCCCTATATCATCCAGTGTATTGCCATAGCCCTACAAAAATTTTTATAATCTATGAAAGAACGTGAACTCCTAATACAGATAATAAATACTCAGATGTATGCATATATGCAGCACATGTAGGTGCCTAGGCACGCACGCTCACATACACAAACATCTAACCAAATACTCCCTCTGCCACAATAATAATAGTCCAAATCACTAATATAGAACATTTCAAATTAAGTGTCCACTTTCCTATTTTGGTTAAAAGTCAACAAGTCGAAAGATTATTTTATTAATAATACCCTCCACATAGTTCATGCTGATTTTGGGACCACTGTACGCTGAGGAATAGACTAACAAAAATACTCTGTTCAAAAACTTGCTTTGATCTCCGTGAAAAATTAAACTAGATTACTATTATGGGACAAAGGGAGTAATATATAATTTTTCAAGATACTTCTAAATGCGTGATTTCCCAAGGATACAAAAGGTTACCTCAATAGGATCAGAGGGTACAGGACTTTCAATAGGACCTTCCTCTGTGCCCGGTGGTGTCTTGTGGGGGATATTAACAGCAGAATGGTTATAATTTTTCCTGTCCATAGAACCTAACCCATTGTTGTGATTTTCTCGAAATAGTTGTGAAGTAGTGTCCCGGGCAAATTTAGTTACAAGAGAGAATTTTTCTAACACTTGGATGGAAAGATCTCTAGCAGGATCATTACTCTTTTGCCTTTGCCTCCCACCAATTTGAGAAATGCTGGAACTTCCATTGTGGATATCCCCATCATCCTTCCCTTGGTTTTCATAAGAAGAAGACTCAACTGCTGAAGTAGATGCAGATCGCCCACTTGCAATAGGAACAGCCCTAGGCAGCTCCAAAGAGGACAATGTTCTCTACAAAATGTAATTATATTATAAACCCGAATAAAACACAGCAAGTGAGGAAAGAAAAATACAAGTTAATAACCAAAGTTACAAGTTTGAATATGTAGACCAATTATGTTGATTAGCAGCAAAAAATAAACAAAGTTGGTAATTTTTGAACAAGTACAAGCTAGTGGAAACCAATATCTGATGCAAATCCAATTTAAAAAGCAGTATTTTGTGATTAACGACTTCGACAGAGCAATAATTTTCACGTAATTGCAGTTACTAGTTATCCAAAGATTAAAAAACAAAATACAAACAATTATGCTCACCTGCAATGGATTTTGAAAATCATTGACAAGAAAAACATTTGCATCTTCCAATGACCTGTATATGTAATACATAATTATAAGAAATGACATCTATAATGATAAAGAAGCAAGAGTTAAATGTAAAAGTAAAAAATTTTTTGAACCTCACCGAAAAAATAATTTAAGAAAAAAAAATTAATATGTACAATCAAAAGAAGCAAAGAAAATAGGGAACACATTAAGAATGATCTAGCAACATGATTGATAAAGCCATTACGGATTAAAGCAGCCTTAATGTGATATTACAACCTTGTGAAAAAACATTCTTCCTCTTTTTAGTCAGGTAATAAAAATCAAAGGGCACATACTGGCAGAGTGGAAATGCATGGAAAGCTAGCAAGAGGTTCCACTCGGACAGACTTAAAATGAACCTGGCTTCTAAACTTAAAACCACCAGAACCCCAACAAGGAGAGAGGGAAAGAGAAATAGAAATAGAAGATGGAAGAAATCAACCAGTAGAAAAGCAAATACAAAAGCAGTTGTTCAAACCTTGTGCAGAAAATGAGAAAGTCCTATTCTACATCCTAAAATATGTGATTACTGCAGTATCGACATAGTATCAAAATTCCATGGGAAACACAAGAGAACCCCACCCCTCATGCATCGGAACCCAAACTCACGTTCCAACAACCATGTATTTAAGTCAAAGTCTCAAGTTAACATAGATGAAATATGCAATATCCCATAGGGGAATATCACACTCAATTCCATAGGTGAATGGCATAATGCCTAGAAGAAGAATGCAGGCATGCAAATACAACAATGCTAAATCATCATATCATACTGGCTTTTCTCCTATGTTTAATTACTTAACAGTAAACAGTTTCTTTTCTTCTGTCATCACATGTGCTCACAAACCCAAATATTCAGGAACTGCCAATCACACCCTCCTACCCACAACTGTAAGAGAGAATATGCGACCAGGTTATAAGGCCATAGGCAAAACAAGAAGAGGCTTTTCATAGCCTATGCAAGATCATGGTTCATTCTTCGCACTTTGCAAAACTGCCCTAATTTTTTGCTCTGAAATTTTCCAACTAACCCTATTGCAATTGGTACAGAACAAAAATCAATGTTTTCAATCTGTAAAACCTTCTACTTGCATAGCGTATGTCAACTTGGAAATTCAACGTGTTAAAGGTACACTTATATAGTTATACTAATCAATATCCGCCCACCTGTCATCTATATATGTGGATATTAGAGAGGGAATTAACATAAAATGGAAGCTAAGACAATAACCAACCTCACAATAAAAACATGTTGCTTGACTGTAGCAAGGAATTCTTTGACTCCCCCGTTGTAGAAGTAAAGAGGAGGAAATGCAAGTCCTGCAAAATAACTCCTTTTTATAGATGTGAGAAGTCGTAAGGAGTGGATTGGTTATTAAACCATAAAACATCTAATTAAAATAAATGCACAGATTATCAAATAAATATCAGTACCTTTTAGTAGAGTTGATCATCCACAATTAAATTAAATGTCTTATATAAAAGTTAATTTTGCATCTACAATTCAAAGGTTCTAGTACTTTAACAGCTTAAAAATGCTTGAAAGAAACAAAGTTCATCTAATCAAATACTATAGGAACAAAATAATAGTTAACACAAACAGGTGCAATTCTTACTTGTCAAAGATTAACTCTCAAATTAATAGAAAGATAGTCGTTATAGAAAGACTAACTTCCAAATTTATTTGCGCACCCAGAAACATTAGTTTCCAGCTATAAGTAGCCAAGCAACTAGGTTGTCAGGAATTTGAACATGAAAAGAAAGGATTTTGTATTTCGTAATAAAAAGTAACTACAGTTAGAGGTGACTGCTGGATGTCAATTCCTGCAACATATATTTAATTGCCATAGCAAAACAATGAAAAGAATGAAAATCACCATTTCTTTTTAGTTTTTACGCAATCTCATTTCTTATGTGTATGAAAAGGTTGGTACGAAGGTCTATAAATTCCAGTAATTTCATTCTAGAGATAAATACAAATAAGTGAAACAACCATATATATATACAGCGTCGCAATTCTTACTTACATTAACTCTCAAATATTATTATAAAAAAATAGCTTATAGAAAGGACTAACTTCCAAATTATTTCCACCCAAACATTAGTTTTCCAGCTATAAGTACCTCAAGCAACTAGGTTGTTCAGAATCTTCAACATGAAATCAGAAAGATTTGTCATTTCCTAATAAAACATAACACCATTAGAGTGTATCACTGCATGTCAATTCCTTGCAACATAATTATTGCCATAGGCAAAACATGAAAAGAATGAAAACACCATTCTTTTAGTGACGCAATCTCATTTCTTATGTGTATGAAAACGGTTGGTAACCTATGTCTATAAATTCCCAGTCATTCATCTAGAGATTAAATACCAAATAAGTGAAACAAAAAAAATATTATACAAAAAAAAAAAAACACAATAACCCCCCCCCCCCATTTTTACAGATAATTAACAAACTAATTTAAAATATAATACATATATAATGCTTAATTGTAATATCAACCAAAGAATTAAACGATTTAATGATCACCTATGATTCAACTGAGACCCATTCAAAGCCTGCATAAACAGCACTGCCTTGGCTAATAGAATTAGCATGTTATACCTGATGACAAAACAACAATTACATACTGCCAGCCAAGAGTTGGGGTGTGTCGACGAATGGAACGCACGTCTGTAAAAGGCACAGCCCTTATGGTGTAAAGGTTCCTATCTGCACATACATTCAGCAACCGCATTAGTAAAAAAAAAAAAAAAAAAAAAAAAAAAAAAAAAAAAAAAAATGCTCACATAAAATTAACAAAAACAAAAGCTTAATGATCTAAAAAAAAAAAAAAAAAAAAAAAAAAAAAAAAAAAAAAAAAAATGCTCACATAAATTTAACAAAACAAAAGCTTAAGGCTACCAACCTCTCTCAGACAACCTTGCATTGGAGCTTTGCCCTTTGTATGGAATCCATGTCTAGCATCATAGGCAAAAATCAAAAAAATAAAAAATAAAAAAAGAAGAAGCAGAAGGAGAAAGAAATAAATTCCCAAATCAGACACCCCGCATAAGTAAAAGGAAGCAAAATATGCATAAACCTAAACTTCTCTTTTTAGGAATTACCATAAAGAGAGAAGTATCTTGCTTAATCAGCTTCAATCTTCCACCAATTCTCTCGGACGCGAACTGAGTTGGATGAATCGCAACATTATCCTTCCTGTACACCACTTCAGCGCCATCCGGTTCACTGGAAGTGCTTCGCTTACTGCTATCGCTCGTTACCATGACGCTTGCTGATCCCTACAAACACAGCCAAAAATCGCCGGCGCAAATTCACGAGATCAATGTCCATTTTAATGTTAACAACTTCACAAATTCGAATTCGCGACTGAATCGAGCAAATTCGAGTGAATAAAAACGTGTTTCATTTCATCATTTCTGAACAGTAATTTGTGTGTGATCGATCGATTGAGGGCTTACTTGCTGGATAGAAGCAGCGTAGTCAGCGTCGTCCGCCAAATCGTGGAGTTCAGGTTCTTGCATGACTAGGGATTTTGTTGTTGCAGAGCAAGAGAAGATGAGAAGTGATTTTGCTTAGCGCAGAAGAAATAGAGAACGGAAAAGGGGCACAAGGCGGTTAGTTTAGGGAGGGAAGGTATTCGAGGGCCCCGCGTAAATGGATTTGGATATGCTATAGGCAGTTTCAGAGTCTAGTTACGAGTCTGCTAATGGTTGGCTCGGGTTTTCTTTGGTTCGAGTCTTTTGAATGCTATATTAATATTTAAAGTTGAAGAGAATAGATTATTTATGAAATCTTAAAGGATTATGAAATGCCTTTATTTTGTTGAGCAATGCTTAAGAACTTAGAGCCTGAATGGGCGGAACTCAACCCTACCAATTCGAAATAAAATTATTGATTTCTAAAGTTTTAGGCACTCCAAACTCCGCCCTAAACTCCATGCAAATAAAAAAAATTATATATAAAAAATATATTTTGTATTTCATAACATATAAAAAGTTTAAATAAAATAATTTAATAATAAATTAATAGTGGAATATGTGAGAAAATTGTATTATCATTTTAAAAATGATAATGATTGATAATGATTTCAATTTATACAATTGGACTACAGTATAGATTGACATTCTTTTGACAGAAAAATAATAACACATTATATGAATTATCTCTTTTATATATATAAATAGTTTACTTTTATAATTTATATTTAAATATCTTTTTTTGTCATTTTAAATTCAACGGCTAATCGAATACCTATTTTTACCTAACATTTTTACTCTAAACAGTTATACAAATGGTTAACAGCTATTGAAATAACTAACAGCTACTAAAACAATTAATATTGCCGAACATATTATCAACTATGAGCCGGTATAAATAATTAAACGAAATGGATTATGAGAACTTTAACATGATTGACTTTGAATTCTCATCGGAAGACTTTATTAGTTAATCATATTGATTTGCAAATCGGTGAATTTATAAGTTTTAAATTTACTATAATAAATGCTCAATCATAATATGATAAAATGAAATTATTGCGTTGATAGTAGGCCTTTAATGTAATATGTTTGAAAAATTATAATTGAAATTTGCTTAAATTGTAACACTGTCCGGTGAATTTATAAGTTTTAAATTTACTATAATAAATGCTCAATCATAATATGATAAAATGAAATTATTGCGTTGATAGTAGGCCTTTAATGTAATATGTTTGAAAAATTATAATTGAAATTTGCTTAAATTGTAACACTGTCCTATACAGATTTGTAACGTATCTTGTACGCATGATAATTTATGTGTTGGAAGAAAATAGTATATTAATTATTATCGGAAATACATCATCACCTTGTACGTCTAATTAATTTTTATCATTATTATTTAAGTAACTAAGATTAAATTTGCCTTTTATAAAGTGAAATTATTTTCTTTATAGGATTTATATTTGTATTTTACTTGCGCGTTATTTTTATACTAGTTGGACTTGAATGCATATTATGAGTATGACCAAGTATGTTATGAGAAATTTTTTTTAATTATTTATCCCAACTAAGACCATTTTACGTTACATTTCATTTCAATTTAATTCAATAAGTGGTGGATTTAAATTCTACGATGACCAAACCGACACTTAAAAAATTGTCATTCTTAAGACTTCAATTGTCATCCCAATTTAGTTAATTTGATTATCAGAAATACTCGATTTTAGCAATGCTTAAAAAATTGTCATTCTAATTTTGCGAGTAGTTTTAATTGTATCTTGAATCTAATTTTTTTCTCTTAATACCTCAAATTTTAATTTTAGTTATAATAGCGCCATAATTTCAATTTTCACCATAAATAGTCTATGTATCTATCTATTGTTCGTGATGTACTTATGATTGATGCTAATAGTACCTAAATCATCATTCCCAAATAAAGTATCAGCTTAACCAAAGAGATAAATAAGAGATTATGATTGAAATAAAGTCTGATTTCGCCCTTAAATTTTTTTAAAATAATTGAAAAGGTCAGATTTGACATTTAATGTCAATTTAACCTTTAAATTTGTTTTGCTTTTTACAATTTGATGAATTGATCTAATTTAATAAGATTGACCTTTATTATTCTTGCACTACGCTAAATTTATTGAGTGGCTGCACTAATGATCGAGAGAGTTTGATTCAGCTGATTAAGGCAGTCCGTAGCTTATTTATATTCACTGGCTAGGTTTGTAAGTATTTTATAAAAAATTTAATTAACAATTTATAGTTTATAAAAGTCTCAATTAGCTGTTGATTCTACCGATTATATTTTTAAAGTTTTTTAATGAGTTGATAACTGATTTGTATATATATTATAGCTTGATTTTATTAACTTTATAAAAATAATTACTAATAAAATTATATTATTTAAATTAATACTTTTATCGTTTTATTAGTTATTTAAAAGTAATAAGTTTCAATTAAATATTATTTTATAAAAAAATTAAAAAGTGTTTTTATTTATATACTGTTAAAATTAAAAAAAAAATAATATATTCAGCTCAAAAATTAAAAAAACATATAGTATACATCAATGTATAATATATAAAAATAATTATATCTTTAATGGTTATTTTACATTTTAACAATAAACGCTACTAATTTTATTAAATACCAATATTTATAAGCTATCGCTATCAGCCATCAGCTATGGGTTTTGTTCTACAATAGCATTTGAGGTAGCGTTTAGAGTTTTGACTATGTCAAAACATTATTTTTATAAATTATGTCATTCGGTAAAGTAATACATAAAATAGCGGTTAGTGGATAAAATAACGTTTATTAAAAAATTAATCCTTAGCGTTTCCATTTTTTAATTAAAATTTTTTTGATAATTTTATCATTAATTAACTTATATTAACAACAGTTTAAAATCTTTCTTTCCAATAGTTGCTATGGTACTGCAAGTCTCCAGTTAAGTTAAAAATTACATTATTTATATAAAAAGTTTAAATAAAATAATTTAATAATAAATTAATAGTGAAATATGTGAGAAAATTGTATTATCATTGTAGAAATGATAATAATTGATAATGATTTCAATTTATACAATTGGACTACGGTATAGATTGACATTCTTTTGACAGAAAAATAATAACACATTATATTGGACTACCGATATAGATGACAATTCTTTTGACAATGAAAAATATAACAAATTACTATGAAATCTCTCTTCTATATATATATATAATAGTTTTACTTCCATATAATTTATTAACAATATCCTTTTTTGTCCTTTTAAATTCAACATCTACTAATCAATATATATTTTACTAACATTTTACCAATCTTAAAACAAGTTATACAAACGCGTTAACGGCTGCTTAAAATAGCTAAGCTACAAAACAGCTAATATTGCCGAACATATTATCAAACAATGGCCACGTAAACAATAAACGAAACGCAGTATGAGCAACTTTACACAATGATTACTTTAACATTCCCACGGACACTTTATTAGTTAATCTATTGATTTCAAATTGGTTGAATATAAGTTTTAAATTTACATATAAATGCTCAATCAAATAATCATAAAATAAATTATTCTTGATAGTAGGACCTTTAATGTAATATGTTAAAAATTATAATTGAAATTTGCTTAAATTGCAACACTGTCATATACAGATTTGTAACGTATCTTGTACGCATGATAATTTATGTGTTGGAAGAAAAATAGTATATTAATTATTATCGGAAATACATCATCACCTTGTATGTCTAATTAATTTTTATCATTATTATTTAAGTAATTAAGATTAAATTTGCCTTTTATAAAGTGAAATTATTTTCTTTATAGAATTTATATTTATAAGAAATATAAAAAAATTGTCATTCTTAAGACTTCAATTGTTATCCCAATTTAGTTAATTTGATAATCAGAAATACTCGATTTTAGTAATATTTAAAATAGAATCTCCTTTCTTAATCAATAAGCCATTTTTTTTTTCTTTTAAATATAGTAGTAAGGCCGATGCCTGGGATCTAATGTCCTGGGTTCATCCTTCCTCTATAATTTGTAATTTATATCCTTACTAGTTTTCTTATACTCTTTTAGGGGTTAAATTATTAAAACAATTTCTAAATTTGCGAGTAGTTTTAATTGTATCTTAAATCTAATTTTTTTCTCTTAATACCTTAAATTTTAATTTTAGTTATCATAGCACCATAATTTCAATTTTCACTATAAATGGTGTATGTATCTATCTATTATTCATAATGTACTTATGATTGATGCTAATAGTACCTAAATCATCATTCGAATAAAAAAAAAAACTATAATTATTTTCAAATAAAGTATCAGCGTAACCAAAGAGATAAATAAGAGATTATGATTGGAATAAAGTCTTATTTCGTCCTTAAATTTCTTTAAAATAATTAAAAAGGTCAGGTTTAACATTTAATGTCAATTTATCCTTTGAACTTATTTTTCTTTTTACAAATTAATGAATTGATCTAATTTAATAAGATTGACCTTTATTATTTTCGCACTACGCTAAAAACAATGGATCAAATATTTTCAATACTTTTGAATATAAATTTAAAATCAATACAAACATTTTTTTTTTAATACAGTAAATTTATACAACATATAGTATAATTTTAGTATGTTCAACTTGCGAATGAATGAATATTCATGGGCAAAAATCCATTAATATAAGTCAATATATAAAATAAAAAGAAAACTTCAGTCGGGAAGATGGATAACAAGGAGTGGGCATGCAAGGACTGTGCCCGACTACTTTTTAAAGTTGACGGAAACAAGACGTACAAATCACATTATTGTTAGAAGCAATGGTAGGACCCTCGTAATCCATTTCTAAGATTCAGATATAGAAAACAACACGACTGCACACACATTTACGGGTTAATGGCCCAAAAATCATCATCTTTCTTTCTTTCTTTTCTTTTTTTTTTTTTTTCTTTTTAAGAAAAATAAATTCTAATATATTATCTCCCCATTTATGTTTTATGACTTTTTCTTCTCTTCCTCATCGATTCACTTTCTACACAATTCCCATTAATAAATATTCCAAAAATAATAGTTTTTTTTTTTTTTTACCATTAATATCTCCATACTTATTTAGAAATTAATCTCATTTTAAGGTTTGCAATTTTCTCTCTACTTATAATTGCATTTTTCAATCGAGCTCTATAAATATTATTTTCACAAATAAAATCTCTGATTGTCTGCTAAATTTAAATTCTTATAACTTTAACCATTTTTCTAAATAACATTTTAAAAACAATATCATCAATACAGAAAAATATACTATACTTTTTAATATCTCATAGATAAAATTTAATATTAATGCATTAAGTTACCATGATGATAAACCTAAATTTTAATTACCAAAGAAAGATTAGTGACTAAAATTAAAGCATGTATTAAGCGATGGCGTATTGTCTTAGATTAGTGACTAAGATTAATTGACGCTTTGTGAAATTTAAAAGTTTTAAGTTGAATTTCTATTCATATTAAATTTAAATTATATTTGAGATAAATATAACTAGGTCTCTAAGTTATGTTTAAATTAATATTTAAGTTCTTTTATGCTTGAGGAATAATTTTAACGTCTTTAACTTATAATTCTGTCTCACAGTGAGATATTTCTATCCAAAAAGTGAGTTATTATAGTTAATCAGACACACTTTTTGGATGGAAAGAATTCATTTTTTTATAAAAGGATGTAATAGTGAAATAAAACAAAAATTAAAGATATTATAGTGATTTATCAAACGGAAACAAACTTAATATTGATTTAGATATAATTTAGGGACCCAATTATCCGTTATTGCCAGCTAATTAACAGGTGATCAGTTATCCTTTTTTGGAAAACCAGATGTCATTTATTGAAAATCCATGTCAATTATAATTCATTTCTCAAAATAGTATGTTGAGTTGTAACATCAATTATAAATTACTTTGTAAAAAGTGATTTGCCAAATAAATTTGAACAAATTAAGGGTATATGTACTTAATTAAGAACTAAACTAATTTCTGGCTTGCCAACAAGCTTTTACTTGAATTTTCTTTTTTCAAAGAGAATAAGCTTTTGCTTGATGAAATTGTATTTAGCTTTCTCTTCCTTTAATAATCTTTTTTTTTTTTTTTAAATTACAATAAGGTGGTATTATGATTCATTAGTTAACTCTTACAAATCATATTATTTCGATAAAAAAATAATATGATAGAGGTAGTAGTTTATCTTTGCTCAAAATAATAAATAATACTTTAAAATTTATTTTAGAATAATACATTAATAGTTCGCAATATGTAAATCGAAATAACATTTTAAAATTTAATAATAAAGATAACTATTTTAAATTAATAATTAATAGTTTAAATTTATAACTTAAATACTGGCATTTTTAATTTTAAACCAAAAATTCAAAGCCAGTAACTATATCATAAAAGTGACTAATATTAATCAGACTAGTTACTGTTATAAAAGTTTTATATTTTTTGTTAAGATCAACTCCAAATGAAAATATTTAATATTATATTTTTTAGTTTTAATTATATTAGGATATGAATTTCTTTCTTTCCTTTGAAGATCAACGAATTCTATTAACTAGTAAAAATTTTATGTCTGGTCTATATACTTATATGCTTATTTTTAATTTTTGATATTATTATGAATGAATTACATTTAAAAAAATTATAAAAGTGATACATACATATATATATATTTTTAAAGAAAATACTACCATCTTTATATACACGGATAATTTGCTTTCCATAAAAAAAAAAAAAAAAGGTTTGACTAAATTAGACAAGATATTTAAAACATATATGATTTTGGCAAATGACAAATTGGCAATAGTGGAATCATAATTTTCCTGCCATATCCTCATAATGACTCTAAAATTTCATTAAGGGATAGAATCTGCAACATTAAAAAAAAGGAGAAAAACAAATCCAAAAAAGAAAGGAAAAAGAATCATCTAAAATAGTCGTAAATAAATCAAGTTGCTCACGAATTACCGATTTAAAAAGGTTTATCGTATAAACTTACGGAGCCAAATTGAATTTACTGCTAAAGGTTATTTAACAAATGAGTAGAATTCATACTCAAATTTAAATTTAACTTATGAAGGGGTAAATACTTTTTTTACTATAAAATGCAAATGCTTTTGTTTTTCAAGTTCAGGTATTACCTCTTTTAAGCTGAGGTCGAGCTCATAGAGTTTGGTTAATTTACCGCTCAAGCTGCGACCTAACCATAAAAAGTGGACCTCACCTTTACACTACCGACACGTGTCCATCACAAACTCAATCTCTGGCCTTTCTCCACTCAAATGCTCCCTTCCCTCTACTTTCCTTCTATGGCAAAGGCAAACATTCTCTACTTAAAAACTGCTCTGTTTCTCTCTCCCGCTCTATCAGTCTCTCCATTCTCAAATTTCACAAACAGAGATAGAAACCTGAGCTAGTTTTTTTGGATATGGATTCGTTGAAGAACAGGACACTACCAGTGACTAATGATTCCTCCGGCAAAGAAGAGAAGCTTCATAATGATTCTGCCATGACCAGAAAAGGAGCTTATGCTGCCATTTCTTACATGGCCAGTGCAGGTTCTTTCGTTTTTTTCTTATTTAAATCTAGTTGTTTATTCTTGTTCTTTATTCATGTTCTGTTTGGTTATGTTATGTTAATTGGTGAAGAAGACATGGATGGAATAGATTGTTAAATATTAGATTCTGATTATTAATATAAAATTTTGTAATTGTAGGGTTTGGACTGAGACATGAAATGATAGTGTAAAAAGTCATTTCGAGTGTTGACTATATATTCAAAGACATAGTAGTGTTTACCAACGGTCGGTTGGACATTAGGTGAATTTTACCTGCAATATCAGAATTCGACACCTGGAGGCCTTTACCTGCATACTACCTCGGTCCATTGTAATTAAGAAAAAAAACACATTAGTGTTTGATGGTTTAAAAGAAGACAAAAAGAAGAAAAAAAAAGGGATTGTAGCTTTTTATTTTTTATTTTTAATGTAAAAAGGACATTTTTAGCTTAATTATATTATTGGCTCAGAAAAAGTTGTGTAAAATTGGTTCATGGAGATACTGTGGCGGGCCTAAGAATATAGTAATATCTTCTGTATTATTGATTCCTTGGAGGGACAAATATAATGGAGCAGTACAAGCTTTGAGAAGGAATCAGGCGAGACAAACTGAATTTTCAATCACAATAAGCTTACACTGCTTACACCTGTAACAGTACTCTGCGACAGGACTAAGTGAAGGGCTTATTTGTGATTATAGGGACTAAAAAACCTTGTGGTATTATCTTAGGTGATTAAATAAGAATAGGGTTTATAAATAATAATTAAAAATGTGAAAAAAGATAATAAAGATTTCAAAAGTTTAAGAACAAATTTAAAGGAGATTAATGGAATTTATTTTAAGAGAGAGATGGGGAATGAAGGAATTCATTTTTTTTTCCATTGAGATAGTAGCTCTGTGGAGGAGTGTTTATCTTAGAGTGTACATTAAGATTCAAGTCCTGACATCCCTGTTCTCTTTTAAGAATTTCCGATGTAACAGTAAAAGGGTTTCCTGGGTTCGTATCTGCACTAGAGTGACCTTTGTTGTTATATAGAATTTTGTTATTTTGTTGAATACTATTGAGATGGGTGAAAGCACAGGAATGTGCCTGTACGTATTGTAATCATGATTCACGAATACTATAAAAATGTTAAATTGCTTGGAAAGGCCATGTTTGTGATAGCTTCATGAATGATTCATGCTCTAAAACCTTGGGTTGTATTTTGTCTTAGGGAACTTTGTATATAAATGAGAGTGTGAAGACGTAAAACCTATCATTAGGCCTTCAGCTGCATGCTTAAGCTTTTAGTTTGAGTGGTATTTTCATTACAATGGGACGATCTTCTTGATAAGTGTTATTGATTGAGAAAAATTGTTTTTCCTTAAGAATAAGGAAACTTGTCTTCATTGTTACTTTTTAGGTCATCAAAATACCCATTATATGATTGTTCATCCTGTTGAATAAGACCACTCAATTATTGTTAGTTGTCATCTTGTTGTTTTCTTTACCATGCATAGTTTTGACCTTTTTGTCTGCAGGCAACCCATATTTTTCCTACTTTTATTGGTCTGATCATACTGGTCCTCCAATCTGCAGTTCTGTTGGTAATGTTCAACAAAGCAGCCCTTTCTTCTTACAGTTTCCCATATGCAAATGTGATCACACTTTTACAGGTATGTCTTTTACTTTTTTGGTTTCCTGGAAAGGCCTGTATATTTGAATTATAGATGTTTGGCTTGTTGCCTTAGCATTTATTTACTGCAATAGTTTGCATTTTTATCTTCTATGGTTTTGAATGAGAATTAGATTACATGAGTAATGAGCTGGTGTCATTAGTGGACATAATTAAGGACCTCAATTTATACTTTCTGTTAATGCATGCTCCATCTGCATCATGCTTGTTATCTGGGTTTCTTTTAGAATCCATCTGGGCCTGACAATTTTGGTACTAATTGAATAGATTATTCATTTCCTTTATTTATTTGTTTTCCCAGACACTTTGTTCATGTACATTTCTCTACGTGATGAAAAAATGGAAGATCATATCTTTTACAGCTGGTGAATCACATGGAAAGACTAATAACCCAGTACAATTTGTACCTATTAAGACACTGTTTCGCACCCTTCCTCTGGCCTTTTCCTACTTGCTTTATATGGTAAGTATTTTGTTGGCTTTGGAACATTTTTCTTTTCCTTACATATTACCTTTGAGTTTTCTTCCAACTATTCACTATTTTTATTTTGTTCTGGATAAAGCTAGTTACAATGGAGTCAGTACGTAGCATAAATGTTCCTATGTACACCACTCTTAGGCGGACTACTGTGGCCTTCACAATGATTGTGGAGTATCTTTTGACTGGAAAGAAACATTCCTTGCCTGTTGCTGGCAGGTAGGCATCCTTTTGATGCTTCTATAAGTCATTAATTAACTGTAAGCAGGTTAATGGTCTCCCCTGTGTTAAATTCATTTGTGTGATTATATCTCTGCAGTAACTTGCATGCATTTGACTAACAAATGAGCCGTGTAGTGTTTCTAACCAAAAATATGGTGCCAATAAATCATAATTTTAGCACCTTGTTATTTTGAGTCGTATACAGTTGCACATTTGCAAAATCCAATTTTCAACTATGATGGTAAGTTATAGCAAGTTTATGCATATGAACATCATACAAAGCCATCTAAAAAGGCATATCGTAGTCATAGATAGAGGTATAGATAATATACTTTTTTTTTTCTCAAAGAGATATTGATCATAGTTCAATGTAAAATATAGATATGAATTATAAAACCACAACATTTCACAAATTTATCACTGGAAACATTTAGATTTATGTATTCATATTTATTCACTAGAAGATGATACTTAAATTTGTTGATATGAAAGATAATGTGCTAGCTAGGTAAAGGATTAAGTAACTGTATGCATACTTGTGTAGCTAACAGAGTGCTCTGTTAGACATAGATGATATTCAAGAATATGCCAATGGTCCTGATATCGAAGAATGAGTTGCAAAATGAGATTGTGAAGGGAAAAATATGGAGCAAAAGCAGGCACATGGAAATCACTTAAGAATCTTCCTGTTGGATCCATTGGTGAATAACAGGTGGACTTTGAGAGAGATAATGTTGATTACTGTTAAAAGAGACATGAAACATATTATCTGTGGATACACTTCTGAGAAGAAAATGGAATCTTGATGAAGTGATAGAAGATAATTTAAATCAACAGAAAAAGATAAAATGCATTAGTAAGAAGGGGAAATGAGATATTAGTATGAACTGTGGCAACAAGCACAAAATAATTTGACAACAGGTATTGAGCAAAGATATGGCTCGTAGTAGCTGTAGAATTGGAGCTGTATTAAGTGCTCCATGAAAGTCTTAATTTGCTAAGAAAGCAACCTGTAAAACAAAGTTTTTCTTCTGTGGATCTTCTCTTCAGGAGCAGATTTTCTTGTTCTTTAATTTTTCCATAATCACATTGTTCTTACTGGTGTTTTTCTTTATTTTCTGACGGTAGGATCGTTTCCAACATACATAGAGTAACTGCATATTGAATATTTGACGCTTAAAAACCGAAAAAATGATCAAGGAAGCTACTTTCGACATTTCCTGTCATGTTCTATCAAAAACTGTAGTTTATAGAAAGCAGAAGCTATGGTAGGGAAGACTCTTACAAGACATCTCAACTTTGTCAAAACTGAATATAACCAAGCTTGTGCCTTAACCCCAAACTACTGTGGTTAGCTTCATGGATCCTTTTTCAACTTAACAAATGCTAATGTTACATATCATACCTTGTATATCCTATGTTGTCAATATCATAATTTCTGGTTTGTTTAATGTGATCTTCAGATATCTCTAAGTTTCTAATCTTATATTATTTTGGAAAGCTTAAATGGTTATATGATTTCAATTGGTACATGCATTCCACAGTTGCACTATAATCAAGGTTTTTATGATCCTAACATTGGTTATTCTGGAAAAAAAAAAAACAAGGATATCATCAGTGTGGGGATAGTTTTACTTGGTGCATTTATCGCTGGTGCTCGAGACTTAGCATTTGATGCCTATGGCTATTCTGTCATCTTCATAGCAAACATCTGCACAGCAGTATATCTCGCTTCTATTTCTCGAATTGGTAATATCTTAGTCCAATCTATTTTTATCTTCAATTTATCATCATAAGGTTGAAAACTTTGTTCTATTCATATATATTCTCAATATTTTCAGGTAAATCTAGCGGCCTCAACAGCTTTGGCCTTATGTGGTGCAATGGTGAGATAAACGACCAGCATAACACTATTGTTCATGTTCATTTTTCAATTTCATTAGACCAGTTTGACTTAAGTTATATTTTAATTAATATTTTTAGGAATAATATGTGCACCAATACTGCTTGTCTGGACATCAATTAGAGGAGATCTCAAAGCAATGATGGATTTCCCCTATCTGTTACTCCCGGGATTTCAGGTGCTTTAATTTCACAAAATGAACTGTATCATCAAAAGCTTCAAATCCATGTTTCCAAAAAATGCGTTTGCTTTGCTTTCCACTTACATTGCAGTAGTTCACACCTGGCTAAAGTGGCATTTTATCAAATATATATATTAATATATTTTATATGAAGTACCATGGTAACCAGTCATGGTCTGACATTCATATTTTAAAATAACTACATTGATATATTTTGCACTGATATTCCAAAATTGTTATATTGATATACTTTGCAGGTGGTTATGTTTCTATCATGTATTATGGCATTCTTCATAAATTATTTTGTATTTTTGAATACAACACTGAACTCAGCCCTCACACAGACTATCTGTGGAAATTTGAAGGTTAGTAAGCCTATTTTTAATTTTGTAATGTCTTAAAAACGAATATCGAACCACAGAGCCAATATGATTTTATGGTATTTGGCACAATGACTTTTTTGCCATTCAACATGCCAGAAAGATATGTGGCCATAAACCCATTTTTGGTTTGTGTGTTCACTGGCATTTATATCTCTATGCTCATGAAATTCTGTCCAGCAATGCAAAATCAACCCAATTCATGATTTGTTTATCCTTTTTGTGCTTTAGGATCTTTTTACTATTGGAATTGGCTGGCTACTATTTGGTGGGCTTCCATTTGATCTGGTAAGCATAACCTCTCCTGTTTAGTCTTAATTATTTAAAATTAGCAAATAATCCAGACTTGACTACTTGTTATGTTTACAGTTCAATGTTATTGGCCAGTCTCTTGGTTTCTTTGGATCCTGTTTGTATGCCTACTGCAAACTCAGAGGAAAATAAATGCCAAAGCTGATATTAATAGCTGATGCTGGAGGTCAATTATTCAAATATATAACCAGTAATTCCTTTCACCAGCTGACAAATTTTCAAATTTAACTATAATAAACTTTTGAGGGTGGCTTTGCTGTAACAATAAAATTACTACACCTGTGACCTGGATGTCATGAGTTCTGAGTCATGAAAACAATCTTTTTGTAAAAGGATAAAGAATGCGTACATGAATCCTCTCCGAAGCTCACAAATGTGAGATACTTCATGCACTGTCACTCTGTTTTAACTGCAATAAATTTTAGAAATGAGGCTGAAATGAGGCAAGGCTGCTTTTTTTGAAATGGATGAGAGGAACAACTCTCCTCAGGACAGGGGAGTGGTGGATTGGAACTAAAATATTTATTTATTTATTTATCTTTGTTTCATCTTATCTGGGAAAAAAAAAAAAAACTAATAAAGAGAAAATAAAGATTCAGGCTATAGAAAAAGAAGTGATACTTTGGAGATGGCAAAGTCTAATTTTTTACTGGATCTCTTCCTCGGGTCATTGTTTTATCTTTGTTCTAAACTTTTGGTAGACAAGCTTTGATGGTTTGCCTTTTTTTCGTCGAACTGATTTCCTGGTCTATCCCACCCCTCCCTGTCGATGGATGTCAGCATGATCGTGCAACGTCTTAGTTGGCTCTATATGATGTATTTTTAAGCCTTAGCTGGTCTATTAACCAAATTCCAACGATTAAAATCAGCACATAAATATTCATTTAGGACTGTGTCCGTTTTTATGGTCCATGATAAATCCAATTAATCATGGCTCAGAGGCAAAGGAGCTGACGTGAAAAAAGTTTGTATTTTCGGAGGATCACACCCATGACTAAGTCATTATGATCAACTCGCAAATACTCTTTGCCATTGAACTACTCCATTCGGATCATGTACAAATGATACTAAATAATAAAATTCATTTATAAGTACTATAATTTGATTTAGTCTGATTGGATTTAATAAAATTGAATTTACGATAATAAAATGAATACTTTATTTCATGACAAATGTAAAGTATGAAATTTCAAACAAATTCAGTAATTATATATTAAGTTAGGAATTTTTAGAAGCTGAGCACTTGTAGGGTCTATAAGGCTAGTCAATGTCAAGCTCTCAAGTATGCTACAAACTCTGACTGAGATTTGAAACATGTTAATTGTGTATCTTGATACTACACACAATTATTGAAAGAATTTTTGAGTTGGGGTAGGTTTGTCTGTGAAGTGGGAAGGATTCATGTCACCCTATAAGGTGGAAAAGGAAGGATACGTAGCTTATGACTTACCTCTGGACTCTGGCTAAATCTATTCAATAATTAAATTTCTCTTCTATATTCACTTTAGTAGCTTCAAAATATTTTTGGAGGTTCTAGGAAAATAACCTGCCTAAGTTTGTGAGCAGATAAATTTCATGTAAGAGTAGAAAAAGAGACATCAAAACATAGGCTAGTGATAAGTGCATTACGACTTAACAATAAATTTAGGTTCGAATCACTTTCTCTAATACTTTAAAAAAGAAAAAATAGGAGAGAGAGAATAAAAGAAAGAATAAATTAAAGCCTTCGATGAAGTAACCTCTTTCTCTTTTCTCTCTAATTTATCTAACCCTAACTTTTGTTTGGGACTGCCGTTGTTAATCAGCGGTAGCCTCCTACTTTTCTTTGTTTTCTCGCTCCTAATCCATTATTCGTTGTTAATAAATAAAGATCTATTTTCTTTTAATAGATCTATTTTTTCTTTTTTTTTTTTTTTTTTTTTTCTTTTTTTTTTTTTTTTGTTATTGTTCCTTTGGTTCTATATTTTAAATTTTTTTTTTTTTTTGTTATTGTTCCTTTGTCTATATAATTGGAGTTCTTTTGTCCCTTCTTCCGTGAGGGTTTAGTTCCTTCTTTGTGAAGGTTTGTTCTTAAAAGGTATGATATTTGATTTTATTTGGTTGGAAAATTTAGATCTTATTTTATTGATGTCTATCTTTGATCAAGAGAGTTTGGTAGTGCAGCATTGTCCTCCATTGATGCTATTATCGCATAATGGCTTGAACTTATCCATATACGTCATACGCAACAAGTTTTTGGAAAAGCAATCCAAGCATAGAAGATCCAGAGAAGTTATTTTGTCGTCCAAATCAATTAAAAGATCAATTGCTACTATAAAGATTTATATTGGTCAATGTTATCTTCAAGCAGAAAAATTTAACATTGTTTCTTGTAGTTTTATTATTCAAAAGAATATAGATAATTTTTTTGTTGTTGAAAAATCAACGAACTTTCTATTAATTATAACAGTAAGTTATATGTTAGGTCTAATTGAGTATTTGTAATATTTGATTTTATTATTAATGAATTATATTTAAAAAAAAAAAATAGGAGAGAGAGAGAGTCTAGGTTTGTGGAGAGGGAGGTGTCTTTCTTGTCTCCACAAGGTGACAAGTGAGTTTGGCCAAATTGCCATGCATGATTCAAACATATCCATCATCATCTTTATTGTAAAAGCTTAAACTTTACTTCAATATCCTTTGTTGCCCTTCTTGATCCGTATTTCATGCAACAAATTGTTTGTGAGAGGGCAAGATTATGCTCCAACCAACCAATCCACTAATAACAGGTTTAAAAACATAGAATGGTTAGTGAAGCCTAGTCTTCTATATTGCTTTTTAATTACTTTTTACACATAAAAGAGATCTATGAGTGAAAAAAAAAAAAAAATCTCCAATTTGATTAATTTTCCATCCACCCTTCTAATAAAAGTTATGACTCGAGAATACTATTCCTATAGGTCTACTTAATATTTCTTCTACAAATTAATTCTTTTTTAGAAGTTTTATATTATATGTTATATAGTTATAGGCACGTAGATTCGAAGTAAGACCGACTACTCTAAGAGCACTCATTCATAGACCGATTACTGATACGAGTAACAAACCAAATAGATTTAAAAATAACAAATACCAAGCGTATTAGATAATTTGATATTGCCTGGAATCCGAACATTTGAACACATGTATACAAATAAAATAATTGAAAGAGCAAAAAATAGATTATTTATTGTAATAAAAAAGAATTAAAGAAAAATTAAGAGTAAATGCATGTAGGATCCGCAATAAATTGAGGTTCAAATCTTCCTTCCTCAATATTAAAAAAAAATTAATAAAACAAGATAATAGAATATTTCTTTTTTTATTATTACTTGTAAAGAATAATAATAATAATAAACAATATACTCTAGACAAGCAACGAATTAAAGTAGAGAAAATTAAAATTTAGAAAAGTATGTTTGCTTTCCTGATTTAATAAAAAAAAAATGGCAACATGGCCCATTAAAGGTTTTCAAGAAATCTCAGTAAGAATAGAACATGGGTGTCTCTTTGTCCACCCCTTTAATCAAGAGTCTAAAGATCATCAATTTGACCTTAGGATTTTATTTTTCTTTCATTTATTTATTTATTTATAACTTCCCATTTGTTGCTTGAAACTATGCATCGATCAAGCTAATTAAGAATATTCATGGCTATTCGATTAAACACACTTTTGTCTTCTTGTTTTATTATATGTTTTGTTACAACACATGTTTCTTCCCTTCTTCTCACTTGCCCCCTTCAAAGTTCAATTTCTATGTTCAATTCTTTCTTTTATTTTTTAAATAAATTTATGAATTTTCAAAACTAAGTCCTCTCAAGTTTCAATGAGCCAGTTTAATATTATATTTTTACATCTTCAATTTATATATTCAAGTTTCAATTTATTTATAAATTAATATTATGAATCGAAATTTTGGATGATGTTAATTTTATTACTCTGGTTTAATTAAATACAAATAAAAACTTTATAAAAGATATTTTGGTTATACAAAAATCAAATTATAACAAATTAGACATCGTTTTCATCAGACGCATAGTAAAAAGCCAAAGATGTGGTATAGCTTTTGACCCTAATGAGTCAATAGTCCTAAGAAAAGAGAAGCAAAGTAATGAGTCCTAGGATCTGGTGACTCAGTAAACAAAAATTAATATTAATATCAGTGGCTTAACGCGTGGGGGAATCTGTTTTTGGGTTAGTGGCACGCGAACTTATCGCCCCAAATCATGAGTAGTATTGTGAGAAAGAAATAAGGCTTAAAAATATATATATATATATTTTTTAAATTTACAGACCTGCTTTGTATATCTAGATTTAGAGATGATATTCAAGTAAAACACTTTTTATCGTTTCTGATTTTAGGTCTTCAAGTAAGCTATTGATATGAATTCATTTCATTGGATGAGTGTACAAATGACGTGTTAGATTGAGTCTGTCTAAGAATTTTTCTTAATAATTTTTTAATAGTGATAATTTTATTTACCGATCCAATTGGTTATTGATTGCAAGTTTCTTCTTTTATTAAAAGGCTCTTTTTTACACTTTCCAAAAATCTTTCAAAGGAAGAAACTTAAAAGAAAAAAGGGAAAAGGAGAAAGGAAAAAGAGTGAGTGACTAAGTAACCCCTCGTCTCTCAAAATCAAAATAAAGAAAGCAAAACCCAAGAAGTGTGTCTCCTATTGCAGGCCCAAGGCAGGGCTCCTTTAGCGCCGGTGTCTCCGCTTTGTGGTATTGGTTAACATTTTTTTTTTCTTTTGCCTATTTGTTAATGAATGCTATGTGTTTGTGTTTTTGTCACTGAGAGAGAGAGAGAGAGAGAGAGAGTCTCATCTCATGTATTTGTTTTTGCGTGTGTGTGTGTTTGTTGAAAGAAAGATGAATCAATTAACTTTGTACGTACACTTCCAAAACGAAACTTCTTCTTTCTAGACAAATCCTTTCGCTGACATTCTGCACTCCTGTTTCCAAGATTCTCTCTTTCTTAAATTCTTTCTATATACCTCTTACACACTTACACAAAATTTTCCTTTGCCTTTTGACTCCCTTTAATTTCTACATATAGATTATTCTTGATGCCTGGCCTTCTTATTTTGTGCAGTACCAAGTACCATTTCTAGCCTTGATTGATGCTACTCTTTTGTGGAAATAAAACTATACACATCTCATACATTATTAATATCCTAAAGTCTAATTATTTGGATCAACAATAAACAATATATCATACTATATATGGATATGATATATATATATATATATACATGTGGATTAATTTAAATGCATATCTATTTATATAGATTAATTCACACATGGGGTTGGTTACATATAAGCCAACTATGTTATTCTCTTTTAGCATGTATGTGAATTTTTATATATGTAGGAGGTTCATTTAATTAATCAAATGGAAAGCATGCATGATATAATAAATATAAAAAAGAAAAGTTGAGTGTTAAAATAATTATTGTAAAAAGAGGAGAGAGAGGTACAATCAAAAGGAGTTGTTTGGGTTTTTTGGTGGAGGAATATTTCAGGTGCATGCGTAGTGTGTGATTTTTATTGAGTACAAACTAAGCATGACAAACCCTAAAAGTAAGTTGCTCCCCTTTGACATCATTCCACTCACCTTCTTCACCTTCCCATCCCGAGGCATAGCCCTTCCAGTATAACATTCTCTTCATCCTCACCTCTTCCCTCCTCACTCTATTTTTACCTCTCTCTCCCTCTTTCTCTTTCACACACACATACACTAAACACTTATATAAGAGTTTCTCCTCTTATAGGGAGTATGCTCTTTGAAACAAGAGTTCTAGTTCATATAGATCACCAATCAAGATTGGTGATAATTCTTTCTTTCATTTTCTTCAATCTCTTTGAAACCCTAATTCTGCTTTTCATTTAGACTGTGTATATGCATATGTACACTATTCTAGCTTTTGTTTACCTCTGCTACTATTTTAGTTTGGATCAATAATCTTATAGGATAAAGCTTAACAAGTACTAGGTTTACCCTATGATCTCTTCTTCTTCTTCTTCTTCTTTATGTTTAATTGAATTGGAGTTCAAGCTCGTAATCTTATAGTTTCGGAGTCAATTTCAATACCTATAAATTTCTTTAATTCCTACTGTTTTTCTTTTGTTCTGTAAAACTTTGCGACATGAATTGCTTTATTGTTTTATAAAAATGTGATACTTAGATCCCACCTTATATAATTGAGTTATATATATATATATATATAGTCTTTCTTTGACGATTGATGTTGATATTCTTGATCACCCACCCTTTTCTCCATTGGATAAATATAGATCATGAAGCATATGCATATAATTGCTTATAAAAGTGTTGATACTATTACTAATTGACTCAGTTCATGGACTACAAAATAATGATTTGGAAATCTCTCATCCCCACTTGACGATAACCACCAACAAGACGGCCACCACCTCCACCTCTTACTCCACTAACTAACCATTTCTTTTCCCTACCTAAAGAGATACAATAGAGAAAAAGAAAATGATCACATATTATTATTGTCTTTTAATGATAATATATATATGCAAAAACATGGGACCGTATCTAGTATTCTTTATTCAAGTACACTTTTTCCGTTTTGGTTGGTAACTAAGTCAGAAAGAAATAAGTGCTTGTGGTACCATTCCATGCCAGCAATTTTTTTTTTTTAAAGCTTAAAGTCCAGTTTCAGTAACACATAGTTCGTGGTATGTCTCTTTCTGGTTCCATTAAGAGTGGTCTCTCTCTCTCTCTCTCTCTCTCTCTCTCTCTTTTCACTATTATAGATAGCTCTGGTATCTTTTCTTCTCTTTCTTTCTTTTTGTTGTTGCAGAAGAAGAGAATCTTGCTCGATGATGGGGAGGCAAAGAAAGAAAGAAAGCAAGAAAGAAAGCGATGTTGGTGAGGTTCAATCTGAAGACGGATTTACATAATAAGAATTGTAAAAGACGATCTCAGATTGAGCCGCGCCAATATCACTTTCTCATACGTCTATCAATTATTGCTTTCCCTTTCAACTCCTCATCACCTTTTCTTCTTTCTATTTTTCTTGTTGCATGGTGGATTGGAAACTCTCGAATGATAGGCATGTGCATTTGATCTTCCTTTCTTTATCTCTTTTTACACTGCAACTATTATTTCTTTTTTTTTTACCTATATATCATATAGCAGAAAATGCATGTAACTGATTTATATTAACCGTATTATAGTTGGTTTTACAACTGTGAGGGTCGCAAGTGCAAATCAATCAAATCCTAATTAACCAAAATGGAAGGTATAAATGACTTTTTTTTCTGGGTCCATTGCCAGCAATGTTCTATAAGGACAGAAGGTAAGCAACTCCTATGCTCTCCTTTACTTTTTTTTTCCTATGCGCACAGAGACATGCTTTTTTAATTTTCTTTTAGTGTTGTTTTAATGGTTCAAAAGTAGTATGGCTAGCTTTTAGCTATTTCTGTAAAAAGATCACTCGTTGGAAGAAATTAACAGCTTCATTTATAATCTATTTATTTAACACCGTATTATAGTTGGTGTACAATCTGATGAGGCTGCGCAAGGCCATATTTCAATTCACTAAATCCTAATAAATAACCAAGAATGGATACTGGTTATAAATGAGCTGTTTTTTATCCCTGGGTCTGCCATTGCCAGCAATATGTCTATGGAGGGACAGCAAGGTAAGCAACTCGATGCTTCCTTACTTATCTTTTTTCCTATGCGCAGAAGACACTTGCTGTTTATTAATTTTCTTTTTTTGTGTTAGTTTAAGTTGGTTCAAAAGTCATGTATGGCTTAAGCTTTTAGGGCCCCTATTTCTGTTAAAAAAGATTCACTCGTTGGAAGGGAAATTAACAGCTCATTTATTATAGTACTATACTATATATATAATAATATTTATATATATATGCAAGTACGCTGTAATTTTAGTCATAATGTGGTAAAGAAACACTTCCAACCCATAGTTAAGTAGGTAATTTTGTACAGGATTTAAAAATCAAAATTCTGAGTTTACTGACATACGAATAGGAATTAAAATCCAATTAGCTATTCATTTGTTAATGCTTAAAAACATAGACTGTAAATTTTTATTATTAGTTCATAGATAATGCGCTCCATTTCATTATAATTCTTTATTTACTGTATCTCTAGTATATATAATGCAAGTACGCTGTTAATTTATTTAAATTGTTTAAAAGAAAATCCAACCCTAGTTAAGTAGAGTAGTTATGTACAGAATTTAAAAATAAAATTCGATTTATGAAATAGAATAGGGAATAAAATCTCAATTAGCTATTCCATTGTTAATGCTTAAAAACAAGATGTAATTTTATTATTATTCATAGAAATTGCGCTCCCATTTCATATAATTCTTTATTACATTCTCTAGTCCATTTAATTTCGGTTACCAAACATGCCCCTAATTTATGTAAACTATATACAATCGAAATTGTGCTTTGCTGGATGTCAATTGATGGAGTTTCTAAAGTGAATTGCATTATAATCAATAGTGCCAAGTAACTTTGTCGGCACATTGTTGATAATATATATATAAAATATTTCACTTTTTATTTCCTAATATATATGTGTGTTAATTATACTTAAATTAAATTCTGCCCTGTTTATTCCCTGAAATAACTTACTTTTGGAAAATTAATTTCTTTACAAAATTTTTTTCTAATAGCTTATTTTCTGTTGTTAACTGTGATATTGAAAATTATTTACAAAATATTAAAATTTATAATTTGTAAGGTTAAAATATATTTAGTATTATATAAATATCATATTTTAAAAATTTTATAGCCAAACATAATAAATAAATAAAAATGATAAAATGTGACAATGATAAGTAACTGGTGATGGTAACTGATGATAGTCAATGCTTGATAGTAATTGGTAATGATCAATAATGATAACTCTTGGTAATCAATATATCTATATAAATATATACTTATATGATTATAATAAATTTGTTAATTGTTTATAATTATTTTTTACTTTTGAAAAGAGGAAATTATTCTCCTTTCAAATGATTTATTTTTCTCTTTGATTAAAAAAATATTCGAAGTTGATTGATTTTGTTATCTAAGTAATAAAAAAATCCAAAAAATATTTTCTAGTAACTTATGTTTTAAAAATAAACTAATGTAGCTGAAGGTGTTGTAATTTGTAAATGAACTCTAACCTTAATGATTGAAATAATCCTACCATAACTCAATAATATTATAATCCAAATTTCAAATATTGTATGAAATAAAGAACGAGATATACGCTGCTACTCCAAGAAATGATTAATTAATCTTGTGTAGCTTCAAATAATACTAATTATCATGTACAATTAGCACAATAAAGGAGTAAAAATAATTTTGCAGATGTGTTAGCTAAAAAAAGGAGTTTATGTGTAGAGTGAATTTTTGGCTTGAGTACGAAGATTTTGTATTTGGTTTATTTCAACTATCTATTCTCTTATCTCAAGAGAAAAAATAGTTGTCTCTTATAAACTTGTAATGTTTTGGTTCTAGATTTTTTTACCAAGTTAGGTTGGGTTTGTTTGGGTGTGGCTTGGAATTAAACACCTGAAAGTTTTTCTTAAATTTATAAAAATTAATAAAATAATTAAATTTCCTATAAAAAAAACAATTAGCAAAATAAAGAAAGAGTACTAAGAGCCAGTAGAAAAAAAAAAAAGAAACGTTTCCTAGAAAGTCAATATGTGGAAAAAAAAATTATAAAAAGGGGCAGTTTTGATTCTGAAATGAGAATAGTCTCATTTTTAAAGGGTAAAATAAATAAATATATAAAAGGAAAAGAAATTTTAAGATAAGGAAGGATTTTTTTTTGTAAGGAAGGAATCCTTTCATTATAGTCTATTTTTAACCTAGGGAAAGGAAACAGGAAAATATATTTTTAAAAGTAAATTTTGCCAAAATAAGACAAGGTAATTATTAACTTATTGTTATTATTGGTTACTATAATTTTTATTAATTAAGGTTCTAATTCTAGAATTAGACTATAAAAGCGATAAAAAGCTTATTTTAATACTTGTGATATGGTTTTAATCAGCTTAAAATGTAAATTTACAATAAAGTACAAATTTAATTTCTATATATAAAAAGATTGGATATGTATTAACAAAAGTTCACCTCTCTTTCCTTAAAAAGAACCATTACATGTCTTTGCCATAAACGACACAGTTTTTTTCTGCCGTTTTATTTTTCACCATAAATAACCATCTCCATTTCTCCCCCATGAAAGCTAAGCCAACCGCTTAAAACAGAAAAGTCTCTTACTTCTGCTGAACTCCCGAATTCCTCATGCACCATTTCCATCATACGCTGCATTGAAACCCTAACCCTAACCCTCAACCAAAAAATATTCCAAGAAAGGGTTTGTTAATTCTGATTTTTAACAACAAACTCTTTCCCATACACAAAAACAAGATCCATATTGTCATTGCTTCTGGAGCAGCTAGGGTTATATTTCTACAATGCAGCGCTAACTACTTGGGATCTCTATTAAGAGGTCTCAAGTTCAAATTCCGCTGAGTTGAAGAGTTTACAAATTGCAAACAGGAACAGCTATCCTTTTGTATAGATCATCATCCAATGCGACCAGAAAAAGACTGATTAGTTACTTTCTCATAAAATATGTCTATGATTTGCCGCTCCCTTTCCGCTCGTCTCTCTTTTGGATATGAAAGGATACCTCAAGATCAGTTCAAGCTATCTATTTTCAAATTAAACGGTTCATTTTTTGGTAACGTTTGTTCTTTAGCATTTTAATCCTGTTTCTGTATATATATAACTCTCCCAGAACCACATGATAACCTCTCTGCAAAAGCAGGAGAAGGCTGTGTACGTCAACTTTTCTCAGAGCCCATAAACGTGTTTTTTTATATTAAACTCTTAGTTTTGACCTTCTTTTGGTATTGATAGAGGTAGAGCTTTCAATGACGGCGACGGTTGGGGAACTGAAGCAGGCGGTGGAAGAATTCTTTAGTTGTTCGCCGGAGGATGATATGTATATCAACATTTCATGGTATTATTTATGTATAAATATAATTTGCTTTGTAATGGTTTTATATATTAGTGTGAACGAATTCTCTAGGCAATGAATTAAGCACATATGCTAATGAAAAACATTGCTTTTGACCTTGATGCATTTGAATTATCAATGTATGTGCAGGTCGCACGTGTGGAGTCATTTTTGTTTATGTTATAAGGATGAGAAGTTAATTGATGACAAGGCATATATCCGATCTTATGGCATCAAGAATGGCCATCATGTGAGTTCTATGTACTTTTATTATAAGTTTTTATATGCATTACAAGGATCGTAGTTGCAAGACAACGATATGGAATTTGAACATATGGTTTATATGAATTTGAGTTTTCTGATCTTATCTATTAGTTTTGAAGTATGATTCTTTCAAGGTCGTGATTGGGATTAGAATCAATCCCACTTCTTGCATTTGCAATCGGGTGATGCAAGTGGTAACGCCAGAATGATAGTATTTGCCTATGTTGTACAGAATAAAAAACGAAAACGAAGGAACCCGAAACGAAATGAAAAAATGATATTTAAAATACAATTTTAAACGGAAAAACGGTATTTTATACACAGAAATGGACATAGAAAAATATTTCCAAAAACAGAAAAGTCCATAGCTAAGAGTTTTTATGTATCAGGGAGGAAGCTAGAATTTATAAAAAATAGGACAAATTACTATAAATATTTTTTAAAAAATACTATAAAAAAAAAAAAAAAAAAAAAAAAAAAAAAAAAGAGGAAAGCAAAATGTTTAAATGCGTGCTATAAAAAAAAAAAAAAAAAGAGGAAAGCAAAATGGTTAAATGCGTCTTAAAAGTTATTCTGGGCAAGGTTTGAATCACATAATTGTTAATGAATTGAAAAAAAAAAAAAATAGGAGGGGGCAATTGCCCCTCTTCGTCCCTGTGCATTATTGGTATTTGCCTTGGGCTAGAAAAATCTAGTGCACAAATATCATCCTAACAAAGAGTCAATCCGTAGTTAGATTGAAAGTATAAAATTTGAATGTAAAGTTTGCATGAACTTGGGTTTTCCAACCTCGGCTTTTAAATTATGATTTTCCGATGTTTCTTCTTCTTTTTTAAAAAAAGAAAAAAAGAGAGTTAAATTGATACGCAGAAATTTGTATGGGATAGAAAAGAAAGACCTTGTACTTGAATATATAGAACCATGTAAGAAAGTTACAATGCCTCTTGGATGCTTACCATTTCATTGCAATCACTAATAATTCCCGTCTGGTGCAAACAGCTTTATTTTGCAATCAACACTCCAGCCAACTGACATATAACAAAAGTTCATTTTTCTGAAAGCAATCGAATCACTCAACTTATTGCTCCAATACAATACATAGCTATGGTTAGTCATAACTTTTCATTTTTGTTTCATTTCTATGCTACTTGGCTCTAAAATTTTCATTTCTGTGTTGGTGCTGTAGGCAGTGAAAATTGGAAGTTAGCGAGCTCCTTATTGATGACTTCTTTTATAAAAGCAGAAATAGAACTTTGAACCTTCTTGTTGGTATCCTTTTATATATAGAGAGACACAAATGATTTGAATGGCATTCTGAGCTAAATTCAAATATCATAATGTTTTACTCAAGTAACTCATAAATCTAATCAAATATTTAATCCTTGTATAATCATACATAAAGTTTACATTTCAGGTAACAGTACAATTTTGAGCTTGAGTTCAAGCTCAATTGAGCATATATGATTTGTATTTCAATATTAATAAAATTTATTTAGAAAAAATTTTAAATATAGTTAAGTCAATTTGAGTTGAATTTGAACTGAATATCTGGAGAAGTTGAGTTTAAGCATGAAAATTAAAACTCAATTAAGTTAAGATTCAGTTTCAAACATTCTAATTTTTAAACGAGTCAATCTTGAGTTCTACATTGTATCAACTCACTTCTTTCAATCACACTCTATTTCTAAGTTTAACCATATCTATAGATTCTTGGATGTTTATCCTGAATATATTTAATTATGTTTAAATGCTGGATTTGGAAGTTGATGCCTTGAAGAGAGCCAAGAGTGGTTGGTTAAAAGCAAAAGAGAGGGAAAAAGTTGTGTTCTTTGCTGAAGGAAAGCATATTCTTTAAAGTAGCTATGCTGTATTAGGCAAACAGAAATCTCACACGCTACAAGAGAATTTTACTGCGTCATGTTTAGAAATGATTTTGCATATTAAGTAAAAAGCTAGATAAGATTCTAATATGATTGTGATACAAGTGTGTGTGTGTGTATATATAGCCTATGATGATGATATTGCATATGTCATAAGTAACCTTTACTGTACTCTTTCTGGAAAAGAGTTTGCAGAATAAGTTAAAGTTATATCAGATTCTAGTTTGAATGTGATTCCAGTGCAGCTGAGTAAAGTGCATATTGTCAAAGATTTTGATGCATTAAATAAAGGGAGAGACATATATGCCTTATATCTCTTCATCAATATTATATATGTGCTGATTTTGATGGGAAGAAGCTTGTTTTATGCATCCCTTTTGAGTTTAGACCGGACTTGGCATCCTTTCCATGTTCCTCCATTGAGGTTAATTAAACTCTGTGAAATGCTTAACTACTAAAGTTCAATTATTTTGGTTAATTCAATTACTTATTTTTACTATAAGCAAACCCATGACTAAGAACTACTGAGCTGAACCGAAAACTGAATTCAGTTATTACAGAAATAACAGAATTTCATAATTGTATTTCATCTGTTTCGATTTGATTTGATGGATATAATAGAATAAACCATCATCCCTATTTGAAGCATTCTATTCTATCTTTCACAGAGAATGAAAGGTCTACTGAGCAATGACATATCTCATAAGGAGAGTTTAGTGTGAGATCTCTATCATCCTCAAGCCTAGTGAGAGTACTGAGGTTTTGCGCCTAAAGTTAGTTATCTAGAAAGATGAAAAATGAGTATGGCCACCAACAAAATATAAACAGCAAAAAGAGAAAAAAAAAATGGAAGTTTGAATTCAGAAGATACATCTAATTAAATGAGAAAAGCACCCGCAATTCCAAAACCTCAAAAGTAATTGATATTCAGATAGCTGCATATAACAATCTTGGAAATGGAAGGTCTATTATCTAATTACAGGCTATATCTCAATTACAACACAGGCAAATACAAGGAAGGTACACATCAAATTGTTAGCTTTTCTAGTGTAAGGTTTCAAAAGAAACTGATTTTACCTTTCCTCTTCTGATATGTTTTTCCGGTTCAAGAAAATCTCAAAACACCCAAACAGTTCTATAACAAGCTTGAAATAATTTCTTCACATAACCTATCCACAAAGGTAGATATACCAACCTTTGTTTTGTTTCACGGTTAAGCCAATCAAGAAGACTGCATTTTGATTGTCCATCATCTACAACGCTGCTTGCCAGTGGTATTCAATGGAGAATCTTTAATGCTTTTGGATGAGGCATTTGTATGTTGTTGAGTTCCTTCATATTTCTTCTTTCGCCGCGCTTGTTGAGATAAACGAGAGTGGTAAGACAATATAGCAAGATCATTTAAATCTTGCAATGGAGTGAGGACCTTTACAACTTCATCCATTATAGGCCGGGATTTAGGCTCTCTACTAAGACAGTTGTATGCTAATTGTGAAACTTTCTGCACTCCTTTAAGGGAGTAATTCAGCTCCAATCGAGGATCCACCAGCTGATAAAGCTTTCGTTTGTCTGCTAAATAAGGCCTTGCCCATGCAACAAGATTCTGTTCACCACTAGGGCGCTTCTTGTCCATTGATCTTCTGCCTGTCAAAATCTCTAGCAGCACAACGCCAAAGCTGTAGACATCACTCTTAGATGTTAAGTGTCCTGGTAAAGGAGTCAAAATCATACCAATCTGTTAGTTCTCAAGCAGATTAAGATAAATCATGCCAGCAGCAGTTATCAATAAGCTTCAGGCTTGATGAATTTTAAATGATTTATAACATTTTATTTACCACTGAAATATAATGCAAGATTTAATTAGGCCAAGTATTAGATTCAAAAACATTTTACAAAAGAGTTCTATAATGCAGGTGTTCGCACTGCATAAGACTAGTCTGAAAAACATTCTTTTTTGTTTTCTATACCCTTGAAAATGAACTCGCCTCCATTGCTTGATGAATTATGCTGGTGATGTTGATTAAAACAACAAATGTCATACAAGAATACAGCACACCCAATTGTGTCATCATACAAATTTATGTGGTTCTTGTTGCTGTAATTTACAACAATAAAAGCTTGATTCATCAAAAAGCAGGATCTATAGGTGAGATTTCCAAAACTTGAATAACAATTATACCTGTCATTACATATTCTGGAGCAGCATAGCCGTATGTTCCGACGACCCTGGTAGAAACATGAGTTTTGTCACCTTGCGGACCAGCTTTTGCTAGACCAAAATCTGAAAGCTTTGCATTATATTCCTGTTAAAGAAATCTTTAAATTTAGGATTCACTTGAGAATAAGTTATCATCCATTAATATCAATCACCACATACCGAATCAAGCAAAATGTTTGATGTCTTAAAATCTCTGTAAATAACTGGTTCTGGACCACCATGAAGAAAGGCTAATCCTTTTGCAGCCCCTAGTGCAATCTTAATCCTGTTCGACCATGGAAGAGGTATTGTCCCTTCAAAAGTTATAAAAAACATCAGCGTTTGCTTAAATTCATCTCAAAAGCTGCACAAGCGTGGCAATTAAATAAATGTAAAGAAAGAAAAGTCATTGAAAGTGTTCAAAAGTACTAATTTTATCAGCTTGAAGAAATTGTCAAAGAAAAAAGCAAACAACAGGGAAAAAGACTGCTTTTTCCACTTTTTTTCAGCTTCAATCATAGCTGATTAGCTAGCACAAAGTTCCTTCAGAGGAAATTACAGTCCACCTAGACCAAAAAATGCAGAAATAGGTTTGCTTCAATAGTAGAGAAGGCAAATGGTGTACAATCACACAACAAATCAATTGGCACGTAGTCTTAAAAGAACACATGGAAACGGAGATATTTCCATGATAAGGAACAAAATCTGTTCACACCATGGCATTGTTTGGTCACAGGGAAAGAAAATGGAAGAAATGAAAGGAGAAATTGACCATTTTGATTAGGGATCTCGGAATGGATAACACATTTTAATTGATCTAGTTAGTTTCATTAACAAAGAAAGAGTAACTAAATCACTAGAAACTCACTTCTAAAAAGATGATTTTCAAGACTTCCTCGTGTCATAAATTCGTAAACAAGCAGCCTCTGATCATCTTCAATACAATACCCAATAAGCTTAACAAGATTAGGATGGTGAAGTTGTCCAAGAAAATCCACTTCAGCCTGCAAAAGTATAAAAAAAAAATGCAAGAACATTAAATCCTTCGTTTATCTTCATTTCTCACAACAGTCTCCTTTTAACATCAACGTACTGACCCAAGAAAAGCAGATATTCTACTAACCACCCATTCTCTATGGCCTTGAAGACCATCTGGCTTTAAACTCTTGACTGCAACTGTTATTCCCGATCCAGGTTTTGCCGGTCCCGTCCCATTCTCCTCAATCCATCCTTTAAAGACATACCCAAATCCACCCTCCCCAAGAATGCTATCCGGTCTAAAATTACCAGTTGCTGATTTTAGTTCTTGAAAAGTGAATTGTAGTAATTGGCACGGAGACTTGTTATCCTCTTTTGGTGGATCAGTATTGTCAGAAGACAATTGTGCTTCATTAGGAGGACATAACTCTCGATTGCTAGCATTTAAGTATCTTGTTTCAGTTGCTGCATCAACAGAATTTAGTATGAGACCTGTTTCTATAATTTGTTTTGGCAATTTTGCTTATTTAGACTTGACAATGGCCTTTAAGAGAAAAACGAGAGGAACTCAAAATTTTCTCAAGTTGTGAATTTGTATCACTATCAATTATTTTTTGGTGAGTAACAAGAAAAAAAAATTTTAGCCCAGGATTTAAACTCCAGCTGGAATCGAACCTACGAATTTGCCCCTTTATCCTTTTTTAGGTTGGTATAGGTTGGGTTTGATGATACTGTGGGTTAAAGAACAGAATTTTAACATCAGCAAAATACCAGTTTGAGATCTGTTCAAAAATGCCAACTTCACATAATTTGGCAATATCCAAGGATCGTTTCAGATAATTCCAAGCTTAAATTATAAAAGACTTGATTAAAATCAAATCACAAAGTCTATATTGGACTAAATAAATAGATTTGAAGAAAGAGAGAGCAAAAGGCAGGGTAAAGCAATGTGACAGCAAAAGAAAACAGAGGAGACCCTCATGCAGATACACAGAACATTTTAGCAGATAAACTGGAGTTAAAAATCACAAAAGAAAAGGACAAAAATTGAAACAAAAAATTGAAAGTGGCTATTGATTATTTATCTAGAATATTAATATTATTATATACCTGCATCATAAACCAGACTAGTACGAGGGATAGTGTTAGCAGAGTCTCTAGAGGAAGAGGATTTACAAGCACCGCTAACACCTCGTTTTAGAAGAGCCCAACAGCCACACTTGCTATTCTCCATAACAAACCTTTTTTTTTTTTTGGGGTTGTGACTCAATCTTTCTAACATGGGTTGTCACTATAATTGCATGGGATGTGATAGGAAGGTGAGAAGAGTTTGGTCATGGTTATGAGTAAAGAAAGAAAACAGAGGATTGAGAAAAAGGAAAGAGATAGAGAGAGGAGGGTATAATAACTGTGAAGAGAAGAGAAAGAAAAAGACACAGAGGAATTGAAAATGTTGTTGTTTTGAGTTAGTGTTAGTGTTAGTGTTGTTGTTGTTGCTGTTGGAGATTGCAGGCATCATCATCACCATCATCGCAGTGTGTACAAAAAGAACTTTTTTTTTCCACCACCTTTTGTGTGGGGATGGCTCTCTCTCTTTCTTTCTATGTGAATAATTTCGCAAAATTACCAAACTCTCTCTACTCTATTTTCTGCTAACTTGAGCGAGACAATCAAAGATTTTTGCAAAAATAAATTTTTGAGGGCTTTCCTATGTTTATGACAAAACTATTTCTTATTGGATATATTCACAGAAGAAAATAATTTTCTGATTTTATTAACTAATCAAGGACTTATTTTGATATCTTTATGTCACCTCAACATTCTACTGAGGTTATTCTCCAAAAAAAAAAAAAAAGGCTTTCCTATTTTATGACAAAAACTATTTCCTTACTTGATATATTCACAGAAAAATAATTTTTCATGATTTTTATTAACTTAATCAGAGGACTTATTTTGATATCTTTATTGTCACCACCAAATCACTGGGCTTATTCTCCAGAAAAAAAAAAAAAAAAAAAGAAAAAAAAGAAAAAAACATTCCACTGAGGTAATGTAATTTTTTTTCTAATTTTTTTGATTATTTTTTATTTATCTTTTTTTGCTAATTTTTAAATTTGTAAAAAGACTCGTTAGTCCGAAATAATATTATTATTATATAATAAGTGTAGTCATATCTTTAACTCACTAAATTAGTAAACTCTTATAGTTGGAAAGACTCAAACTTAAAATTTCTCTCGTGTCAGTAAAAAGATCAATCAGTCTCATCTGATTGATATTTTACTTTTTTAATTTAACATTAGTGAAATGAAAACTAATATTATTAACATTAAAATTCTCTGGTTTTTTTCTAATAATTAACGAAATCTGTAATATTATTAAATATTACTTCAAAATAATAAATGGAATAATCTCTACATATATCTATATTAAAACTAAAAAAAATTATATAGTAAAAAAAAACTATTGTTTCTAGTATTTTTTTAATATAATAATAATATAATAATATAATTATATAATATGTAAAATTTTGAATTCTTCTTTATTTTTCTATTGTGTTTTTACCGTTTAAGGTATTTTTTAAGTCTAAAAGTAATATATATATGTAAAATTTTGAATTCTTCTTTATTTTCTATGTGTTTTTTTACCGTTTAAGGTATTTTTTTAAGTCTAAAAAGTAATATTTATTCTTTATAATTATAATTTTAAAAATATAATCATATTAATTATATATTATTAAATATCAAAAAGTTATTGTATATTATTACTTTTTCTATTTTGAAGTTTCTAATATATACAATTTTAACTATTACATTACTTCAAGATATTTATTTGAATTTGAAAATTAATATTTACTTATAATCTATATTTTTATCATATTTTCGATATTTTTCCATACTTATATACAGTAAAGTTGAAATAAAGAGGAATTAATATGTTTTAAAGTTAAAGTGTTTTTTAAAAATATATTAATATGTTTTAAAATTAATATGTAAAGGAATGATTTCCCCTTTATATATTTTATTTTTTCAACTCAACTTTTATGATTCTTGTGTTGGCTAGAACTAGAAGGTGCTGATTTTCACCCTCCAATAAAATAAGAACTCTTCATTTTTACTATTGTAAAACCAAAAATTTAAAAAAAAAAAATTTGCTTAAAGAACAAGCATCTTTCCAAATATTATATAGAAAAATTAAATTAAATTAATGTAATTAATGAAAATTATGATTCTTTGAAACGAGTATATATATATATATATAAGAAACTTGAGATATACTCTCTCAGTAGCCTTGTTTATCAATCAATTGTACGCAATAAATTGAACATAAAATAATTATTAGCTCAGCATTCAAACAATTTTTTTTTCTTCCTTTTCTTTACGAGTGATATTAAATTGTTCTTTTTTTAGTTGCAATCACATATAAATACATATACGATCAGTGGCAGGCAAAAAGAGTCGATGGACCTCTCTTTTTTTTTTATAAAAATTCTTTAAATATTTATGGATTTTTTTAAAATTGACTCATCATAAAATTAAAATTAAATCATTTTAATAATATTTTATTATATATTGACTCTGAAATTATTATTTTTTAGATCCCACAGTATACAAACATACAATATTTTTGCTTTATATTTTCTTTTTGGACCCGCTTCAGATTTTGCACTTACATGCAATTTATGTTAATTATATTATCACGAAAGAAAAAGAGTAGCTAATTAATTAATTCCACCAAAAACCAAAAATAGTGAAAAAAGACTTTCTTGATATAAGAAGAACAAGAAATAAGAAGGACTAAGAATAATTTACTATTTTACCTTTATTTAATATACTTCTTTATCAACAATATAATAGACAAATTACTACTTTATCATTAGTTAAATTTTAATATAAATAAAATTAACATATCAACCTTTAATTTTTCAATAAAGCTACAGCTGATTAAATGTTTTATTAATTTCAAAATAATTTAATATAGATCATTTAATTTTAATGGATATTAACATAAGGGTATATTATGAAAAAATAAAACAAAAATTATAATTTAACTATATCGACTAAAATTTCTTAATATTCGTGCAAATTAAATTAAGATAACAAATTATGGGATGGAGGGAATGATACCAAGCATTTGTTAGACTACGGTGGGGGCTATAGGTATTGTGAACCTAAGCACATAGATACTCCAATATATTGATTGCACTTGGTGCTTGAGTTCATGTAATTAAAATGAAAGATGGAACTAAATTTTGAGTCGGATTAGATGATTTTTAGTAATGGAATTCGGATACCGGTGATTTACATAAAAAATGAAAGATGGGACCTTGGCAGCTAAAAGATATTTCCCAAACAAGGAGTTAGGCATATGTGAGATTTAGTCACTGAAAGGTTTCCTGATTAAGGGTCAAAATAAGTTTCATTAATTAAACTATTAATAATTCTTGGTTTGTATTATTATTTTATGGTCAAAACTCATAGGAAAGATTCTAGTCAAAGATCGTATTTAAGTGCAATCCCATCACCCTCACTTGCTTTCTAGCTAGATTTTAGGCAACAAGAGAGTGTCGTAATTTATATCTTCCTACGTGGATTTAAAATGGAGACTATAATATGCACATATATTATATCATTTTTTTTTTCATTACTTATCAAAAATTTTCAAAATTAAATTTTAATCTTTATATTATTAGATAGATATATAATTTAAGCTTTGCTAAATGATATAAATTGTGTTTGATGTGTATATTTACAATTATACATTTAGTATGACGTCAATAATTTTTAAATTGCTAAAAACAATTTTAAGTGTGTTGTAGTATTTTCACTTATATTAGACTTGACATAAGTTACGTCGAAAATATTTTTTAATATAATTTTTAAATTATTAATATATGTTAAAGAAATAAAAAGGGAAGGGTGGGGATGGAGAGGAGGGAGGGTGTGCTTGGTGAGAGGTCATTTCAGCAACAACCATTAAACAAAATGGTATTCGATGATGCTTTGTGTGGAGAAAAGCAATGAGAGAGAGAAAGAGATCCTATTCTTTTCCTTCTACACTGTGTGCCTTGCAACTTGACAAGGTCCTTGTTGGAAAGGAGAGATACCCATTGCCCCCATTATGGATGTGGGTCCTTCTGTAGGGGTCCCACCAAACTTAAGGGCCCATAAGAGAGAAAGAGAGATGTTTTTTTTTTTTTTTTTTTTTTTTTATTGCCCATATGGATGTGGGTTCCTCTGTAGGGGTACCACCAAACTTAAGGGCCCATAAGAGAGAAGAGAGATGTTTTTTTTTTTTTTTTTTTTCTTTTTTATAAAACAAACTTACTGTAGTATAGCCACTTAAAGGTTACTGATAGTTTTTTTTTTTTTTTTTTTTCTTTTTATAAAACAAACTTACTGTAGTATAGCCCACTTAAAGGTTACTGATAGAATATCCTGCATTGTTTAGGAGCTAAAAATACAAAGAAACACCTAGCCATTTTGATGATAGTTAGTTCTCATCTGGAGTGACGAAGCTAGAATGTAAATAAAAGGGTGCAAACCATATAACACACAAGTATAGGGAGGTAGAGTGGTAAAACAAACCAAAAATGTCTTTGTTGAAACTTCCATAAATAAAAAATTTCTGATTGTCGTTTTGTTCGGGTAACATCTTTTGTCCATTCGCTACATTCTTTCTTGTCTTCAACTTGGTAATTTTCACCAAGGCATTGGATCAAGAGCACTTTTATTCTATCTTGCAAGTTGTGCATTCCTATTCCTCTTGCTCCAATTTGAGGGGAAGTATTAACCTGTACAGTTGTACCTAATTTGGTATATTTTATGTATTAAAGTATACTAATTAGGAATTCACAAGCTTGCTAGAGTTTCCTATCATTAAAATCATTTCAAAGGATTCATAAGTGCAATCCAATCCATAAGGAGTGGTAAATTGCAAATTAGATGGTGAAGGGTAAGAATTTGAAATTGAATCCTTTTAGTCTTAGAATATCTGCCTTAACCATTACAACCAGTCATCATTACCTCAATTCTCATAATTGAATAAAAAAAATTAGCTCTTTACAAAAGTTTTCAGTGATGATATGGGCAAACAAGATAACCTATTTTCTGAGGTATAAAGTTGCTAAGCCATATAATTGGAACTGGAGAAAGCTCCATAAGCATTTGCTTCACATACAGAGAGAGAGATCTTTTTGAGATGGACCATTTCCAAATGGACAGATTTTGGGTATCAGATAGGGCCCAAAAGATCAAATTGCTCCAACAGATAATCAATCTCATATTTCCCATAACCAATATAAATAAAAGGTTACAATGTTTTTGGACTAATGTGACTGTTTGGCAGGAAATGTTTTCTTTTCTTTTCTTTTCTTTTTGGTTTGATGTACTCTACACATTGAACCACTTGTGCTAAATGGCTCCATTCCTGGTATCACCATCATAACATGCTTTGAAACTGTTTTACTTATGAGAATCACATTAATCACTAAATAGTTAAATATATAAATAAAAAGAAAAGAAAAAACATATGCAAAGGGAACATGGGTGTTATCATTTGGGGGTGTTTATTTATTTTTTTTTTAAATTGTAATTGAAATGTTTCCAATAGCTTTCGGTGACTAGCTTTGTGTCTCCCCTTGGTTACCACTTACTACAGTTAGTGAACTTTTGATCATCATAAAATGGACAATATGATGTGAAAGAAATTCTTCAACTGAAATTTGGTTGGTAACAATCAAGAATGGACTCTTTTGTCTCCCTCCCGCTCTCTCTTTTCTTGTTCTCTTTGTATGTATATAAAACCCAATGTGTCTCCTTCTACAATGAGGAGATCAATCAAAGGAAAATTTCTTCATGGTTTTATTTATAAATGTCTATATATCACTCTAAATGAATAAAAATCGCTCGTAACCTGCTTGAAGTTTGATTAGAAAAAAAGCACATTCGAATCAAGCCTGTGAAGGGATAATTTTTTCTGTTTAACTACAAAATTATAAACTAGTTGAGCTCAAACTCGAGTATATCTTTATTGAGTCAATGTGCCTTCCTAAGTGGAATTATGTTTACATAAAAATAAAAAATATATATGTAATTTTTTGTATGTGAACATGACATTATCTCCAATAAAGTATTTTTAGCATGCTACCATTAAATTATTTTAACAACATCCATCTCCTTAAATTTTTTTTTTTTTTTCTTTTCAATGTAAAAGAACAAAACAGTTGCAAAAACATTATAACTAGGGTTGTCCCGTTGCATTGGCGTTTGATTCTCGATAAGAATTAGAATCAAAATCATAATTCAGTTCGGCTCAAATTTGAAATTAAAATCGGAACTAAATGAGTTGAGAACCATAATTCGGTTCAGTTCTGATTGGATTCTTCAATCCATTGGTTATAATTCCTCGGTTCTGCTTTCAGTTCCCCGGTTAACTGGGGCTGTGAGTGGACAATCCAGGTCCTCGAGAAATTACTTTCTATTATTATTATTATTATCGCGTTAACAGCAGCAGCAGCACTATTAAGTGCGGCCCAAGATGTCAACGTGTAGGCTGGATTAACTACGGACTTCCAGTTTGGGCTCAAGACCTGTTTATTTAGGTTGATGTATGATTATCTATAAATGTATTTCTTTTACATATCCAAACTCCATAGGTTATTATATATGTTAATCGATAAATATATTTCTATTCATGTTTTTAGTCTAGAAAAAAAAATTATAAAACATATATTATGAAAAAACTAAACGAAAATTAGGATTTAATTACATTAACTCAAATCATCGAGCAAATATTTACAACGTTATGGTAGTTAAGGGTTGAGGTATATTGTTTAAAATATTAATATGAAGTCAAAGGAATCTATTTTATAGAGAGAAATATAAAAATTTAAATTAATAAAAACAGTATAAAACGTTTCTATTTTAACATACATTAGATGTAGTGAAAATGTAATACGTAAATTAAAAATTAAAAATAGAAATGAAAGGAAATAAAGTGATGAATTTTTTTTGTTTTAATTTACGTATTTGATTGTAACTAGAGAGCAATTCTTAGTTTATAACCGAAAATCAAATCAAACTAATTCATTTTAAATGCATTCGGATAATTGTCCTATAATTATAATTTTTATTATATAAAATTATATGGTTTTCGATTTTTAGTTTATTTATCATAGTATAAAATAGCTAATTTGATTTAGAATAATAAAATTCAAATCGATTTAATTCAATTTAAATTAATTATTATATTATTCAGTTCTGAATTCAATTATTATAAAAATATGTTTGAAACCAAAACTGTTTTATTTCATATGTTTTAAATTAATTCGATTTAGTTAATCACATGCTCAACTCTAATTTTAATTGAGGTATTTCATATGTTTTATTTCTCATTAAATTGTGATTTTAACCCCTCATGTCACGTGTATCACTTCTTAGCACCGTCATCATTTCCCTTACAATTCTTCAGTATAATATTAAAAATAAAACGAAAAAATACGGTTTTATTTTTACATTTGGTAAAATTAATTATTTTAATTTTAATTTTAAAAATTATACTATTTTATTTTATAATTTGTTTCCATTAAATGAAATTATCATTTCATTTATTATTTGAAATTTAACTCATTAACGGATTTAAACTGTAAGTATAAAATAATATAATTTTTAAAATATAAGGACAAAAATAATTAATTATATCAAAATATAGAGATAAAAATATAATTTTTTCACATTTTTAATTCATATGTTTATAAAGTGAGTCATGTAATTTTTTTACTAGCAATCAATGAAGGATAATTTTGTTTAACCAATATAAGTTATAAAGAAAAAAATAATGTAATTTTTAAAATTTAAAGATAAAGTAATTATCCTGTAGGAATAAAATATGACTTTTCAAAAAAAAAAAAAAAAAAAAAATTTAATTTTTTACATTTGGTAAAATTAATTATTGTAATTTTTGTGATATATTTATATAATATCGAAGTCCATACTATTTTATTTTGGTGCTTCCTATAATTTGTTGTACCATTAACTGGAATTAGTCCATTCTACAATATTTCTGTATTATGGAAATTGGTAAATACTTCACCCCTATTAACGGATTTTACAACTGTAAGGGTGGCTCATAAGTATAGGCCCTGTAAAGTGTGATAAAGTTCCTCTTAAAATATAAAGGACAAAAAAGAATTATTATATCAAACTATATAGGATAAAATATAATTTTTTTTCACATTTTTAATTCATATGTTATTAATGTGATGTCTCCGGTGTAATTTATATTTTCCGGACATAGTCAATAATTCACTTATCGAAGGATAATGGTTTCTGTTTTAACCAAAGTAGCTTAAGTCTATAAAGAAAATTAATGTAGATGTTGTGCATGCCAAAACTTCTATAAAGAACTATAAGGCAGTAATTTTATCCCATCTCGCTATGGAATAAAGAGTTAGTGAACTTTTATTCGCAAAATTATAAGAAAAGAGAAAGATAACAAATATATAGGCCAAGGTCGGAATGTGCGACCCGGGAGAAAGGTGGTCAATATGCAGCCATATAACCCACCGTTCGCGAATTCCTATAGCTCAAAAAAAAAATGAACTATCAAATTAAAGCCGATCTTTCTCGCCGTAAATTTCGAAGCTCAAATCACCATATTGCTCAATGTGCCACTGTTATATCACTTCGGAAGCTGGATAAATCCAGACGGGAACAAATGTCCTACTGCCCAAAATACCTTTCACTCTCGTGTAAAAACTTGCAGAATTGGAGACAAGGGGTAAGGGCCTTTCATTGAACGAACACGTCACCTTTTGCATCGATAGCGCAGGGACAAGAATATGGAGGGTAGGAGGAAGGAAGAGGAATAGGCACGACGAGCATACGGACAAAGAACCCAACCCTCTTTCTCCATTTTCTTAGCTCTGCTTTTAATTACACGAACAGTCTAGAGCTGAAGAGCAATTATCTCTATAACTGAACATATAATAACAATAAAAATTTGAATGCTATCAGATTATGTGGGGAAAACCCCTAATCCTTCAATCCCAGATTTCTTCAAACATAAACAGCTTCATACTGATTACTCTCTAGATTTTTCAGATATAGGCCCCGAGGTTGCGCAATTTCAGAAGAAAAATGAAATTTTTTTCTCTCAATTAATTGTTATAATATTGTTTGATGTGAGGGATTGTTGAATTTTAGCGCAGTGGATTGGATAAGTTATAGGTGTCATATCTCGAATTCTGTGCTGGCGCGATGATCATATGGAAAACCTGGGTTGCCAAGAGACGACCAATTAGGGTAGAGGATAGATTAGGAGAGAGAGAAGGGAGGAAGGTGGGAAGATATGAACCAAGAGGGAGGGAAAGAATAGAAAACTATGTCTGCCATTGAGTGTGCGGAAGAGATTCTTTTTAAAAAAAAAAAAAAAAAAAAAGCAAATGGACGGAGAAGGTGTTTCAAAAGCACAAACCGTTCCATTCTAAAAAAAAAAAAAAACATACCGTTCCGTAAATTTGAAGAAAATCCAATTACTTGTAGCCACGTATCTCGGAAGCTGGATAAACCAGACGGAAAAATTCCTCTGCAAAATACCTTTCGTGTGTAAAACATTAGAATTGGGAGACAAGGTAAGGGCCTTTCATTGACGAACACGTCACCTTAGCATCGAATGCGCAGACAATGAATATGGAGGTAGAGAAGAAGAGGAAAGCAGAGGAAACAAACCCCCTCTCTCCATTCTATCTCTAAACACAACAGTAGAAGAGAGAGCAATAAATATAAATATAAATAAATAAAAATTAAGTCAATTAGGTGGGAAAAACCCTAATCCTTCAATCCATTTCTCAAATAAAAGTCATCTGATACACAATTTTTCAGATATAAGGCCGATTGGATCAGAAGAAAGAAAATTTTTTATTTTTTTATTTTGATTAGGTTGTTGAATTTGGGGATTGTGAAATTAGGGTTAGATCGATCTGTGCTGCATGATCAGGAAACGGTGGTTGCAAGACGAAATTAGGGTAGAGGATAGATAGGAGAGAGAGAAGAGAAGAAGAAGAAAAGAGGAGAAAATAGAAACTATGTCTGCCATAGTGTGCGGGAAGAGATCTTTTTTTGAAGAATTGACAGTGACCAGCCCTCCCGTTAACAAAAGAATCCGTTGTTCATCTTCCTCTCCTGTTCGTTTCTCTCCTCCAAGGTCTACCAACGCTGTTTCTGTTTCTTCCCCTGCCTCTTATCAATCTTCTTCGCTTTTGATAGAGAAACTCATCGCTCTTTTCCCTGACATGGACAAGCAGGTATTGTTTCTAATTTTTTCGATAATTGAATCATTTAAATTGAAATTTAAATCATTGGAATTTTTACAGGATGTGATCGTTTTGTCTTTGTTTTTAATTTTCTTTTTCAAAAAAAAAAAAAAAATTTTTATCCGTTTTCATTTTAATATTTGACAAATTTTTGATATTATATATAATCTCCTTTTGCCGCGGTCTCAATGATTAGTCATATACCATTTGTTTTCTTTTCCTGCTTTGTTCAGTTTCATTTGATGTAATGATCGGTGAAGGCTTCATTTCCATTTTTTTAGTTTTAAAGCTTCTGACTTATTATATTCATTTCATTTTTGTGCTCGAGGATTTCTTTTGCAAGCAACTAAAGATGATCTTTTGGATTTTGTATTGGGTAATTTTATCGCCTTCTATTAATAAGGCAAGTTGTTGATCATTTGTATTATAGATTATTGAGAGAGCGCTTCAAGAATGTGGTGATGATCTGGATTCAGCTATCAGAAGTTTGAATGAGCTTCGACTGGCATGTGCTGATAACAACTTGGGCTCCAATCTAGTTAAATCTGATGTACTCCTTGAGGGTAATGTTCAACAAGAAGGTATGTATAGGAAACTTTTTGAATGAGCTATGTGTGGGAACAAGGTATGCATAGGAAACTTTTTGAACGAGCCATGTTTATAGGACGTTTCAAGCTTGCTTATGGATTAGCTGTTATCATGTATTTATGTTTTATCGAATTGCATGTTTGTATGTGTGTGCATATAGAGTGCAGTCACTTATTGGCTGAATTTCAAAAAATATTGTAAATTTATGAGTTGGTTAAGTTTTTCCTACGAGTTATGGTTCCAGTTCTCCTATGGTGAAGAGAAATCAAGATGTAAAAATTATGTTTCAACTTGCTGCGGTGAGAAACTTAGGGACTGTCTGATACTACGAGTGGCTTGTGTTGTTCCATTTGCAATTACATTTGCCAAAAAAATAATAACATTGCTTGTATTGTACGTACTCCACTTTCTGTTTGATCATAGATGACTGATTTCGATTCTTTTATTGTGGTGTCTTGACCTGTTGAAAACTTAATTATTTTATTTTTCTTATCATCCAAAATAATTTTGGAAATTATAAAGGTTACTTTCCTGTCAAAGTTATGTGAGAAGCTCTTATCTTCTCCTGTGTTACTTTAACTCTTTTGCATCTCTTTTGTTCTTCCCATCCCTAAACCCCCTTTCTCTTCTTTTTCACCCCTCCAAAAACCTTCCGATTTGACAGCTTTTGCCTTATACTTCACATTAAATTGAATAATGTGTCGGAATCTTCCATAATCTATTTGTTTTTCGCTGTTTCTTTGCTCCTATTTACATGTATGCTCCCATATCTAAGCGCATCTTTTGGCTTCTTAGCTTCGCACAAGCTTTTCTTGTTCAATGATATCACCCTAAAAGCTTTACACTATGTTTGGGAGAGGAAATAGTGGGGGAAACAGAAATAGGAAGGTAAAGTTGAGAGGGAGAGAAAATAAAGAGAGAGAAAACGTTTTCATTCTCTCCTGTTTGAAAGAAAGAAACATATAAAGAAGGAAAGTTGCGGATATAAGTCCTAAGATTACAAGTTTGCTCCTTACACTGGCGGAATATCATTGGTGGAGGTTGGCTTCACATTCTTTTCTAAATTTTGGTTATTGATGAGATTGAAGTCTTATATAACAGCAAACCAGGCAGGGATTGTACTGGGATTAGATAAGCTGACTTAGATAGTGTTAAGCTGAGAATCAAATATTGCAAAAACCAAGTTTACATGGTATTTCAACCTTGAGTTAATTCTCATGTTCCACATGTTAGCTGGCTGTGCATCAGATGGATATCATGCATTGGATACAGCATGCTTTCTGATTTGGTTTCTAATTAGTAGGGGCATTAGGAGAGAGAGAGAGAGAGAGAGAGAGAGAGAGAGAGACTTGGAAAGAGAAGAGAAGAGAGAAAGAGAGGGGGGGGGTGGGGGGTGGATTTTTAAAGGTAGTAGGGCATCCGTAAGAAAACCAATTTGATCTCTTAACCATTTAAAGAATCATGGTACAACAAATTTTTTTGGTCAAGAAAAATTCTGAAGTAAACTTTTCTTGGCATCATGGCTTCCGCTTTAACCGAAGTATTGATGGTCCATTGTATTCATCTCATATTTTTACTTTAATTTTCCACATGAACAATCTGTTTTATCAGCCAAAAGCCCCCTCCCACTGCTTTTCTTTCCTATTAAAGAAATGAAAACTCCATCTTTTCATTCATGCCCTATATTTCCGGAAGGATGTGATAATTGCTTGCTATTGTCATTCTAATCTATATCACCTAATTCATCTCCGATGGGGGACGAGAATATTTAGAGTATTTGCAAATGTCATTTGATTAGAATAAATTATACAAACCAAGAAAACTCAATTGAAGACCCAAATGACTCCAGTTTCAATCATATCTCATTGATCATCATGTATTTTATTATCTTTTAATGTTTTCTTAATTTGATGGACATGACAATGTTATTACCATGAAGTCTCAGAAGACATAATTCATTGCTGCAAGCCTAAATTGGTTAGGTAAAAGTAGAGTATATTTCACTGGCTGAATTTTTATCAGAACCAGAGCATGAATTCAATTTTCAAACCTGTAGCATATAGCAAAATCAGAGAGTTTGTAATGTACACATGGTACATTCAATATTGATCTTTTTTGCTTTCTCTCCCCCTCAATGCTATTGTGCTGAATGCTGATACAAGTGTCCTGCAATCTCTTGACTGCTTGTTTGGCTGCCATTCGGTGTATTTGCACATTCAATCGTATTTTGTTTACAGTTCATATGTTTCTGAATGTGCAAAACAATATTTTGTTTCAGGCATAGTGACAACTAATACAGAAGCTCCAGAAACTGATAATCCATCATCTACAACACAGCTTCGAATGGATGGTGCAGAGTGGGTAGAGCTATTTGTTAGGGAAATGATGAGTGCTTCCAACGTAGATGATGCCAGAGCTCGTGCTTCAAGAGTGTTGGAAGTTCTAGAGAAGTCCATCTCTGCACGTGCTGGAGCAGAGGCAGCCAAAAGCTTTCAACAGGTTATTGAGTTTGCTTTTATTGTTCTTTCTTCTTTGTTTTGAGAGCGACTTACCTGCTTGCTTTTTCCTTGTCAGGAAAATATGATGTTGAAGGAACAAGTGCAAGCATTTATTCAGGAAAATGCAATTCTCAAGCGAGCTGTATCTATTCAGCACGAGCGTCAGAAAGAGTATGAAGATAGAGGCCAGGAGTTGCAGCATCTGAAACAATTGGTGGCTCAGTACCAGGACCAGTTGAGAGCCTTGGAGGTTGAGCCCATTCACCCCTGAAATATTTTTCTTTATTTATAAGCCATTTTTGGATTAATATTTACAAGTTTGCTATAGTAACGCCTCTTATCATCTTCATTTTAATGCCACATGTGATTTTTTTTGTTATTTATGCAATGAATCTAACAGGTGAACAACTATGCATTGACAATGCACCTGAAGCAGGCTCAGCAAAGCAGCTCAATCCCAGGCCGTTTCCATCCGGACATTTTTTAGTAAAATAAAAATTCGTGTGAAAACAGGATCGACTCTAGCTTCGCTTTCTATACCTGAAAAGATTTCATCCCATAAAAAGATGTTGCTTCGTTTTATGATTCATGTGTAGACGATTGAATTATTTCTTCATTTTACTTTTAGTTGTGTTGCATTGCGTGTATTGTACTATTTACTACTTTTAATAGCTTGAAAATTTTACAATAGCCGAATTTTCCTTTCTAGACTTTTTTGGTTTTTTTGACTTGTCATTGACTTTGCTAATAACGAGTCGTCTTTAAAATTAAAAATTAAGCTAAAAGAGAGAAATTTAAACGAATGGGAATTGGTCTAAGTGCAAGAGGTTGAGGCCTGTCGAGTAAGTCAGATAAGTGTTCGTATGTTTTAAATAAAATAAAATTCAATTCTTTCACATATTTTCCAACTTGTTGACAAAACCTCAAATCAATCTTGATAAATTTAGCTTTTTCATTTTTCATTTTTTGAAGGTGATAATTATGTAAAAACTTTGATTTTTAGGCAAATTTAGAAAAAATTCGGCACATTCCATTTTGTGACAACAGAAAATAAGTAATTTATAAATTTAAGAAATTAATATTTTTAATTTGGTTAGTTCGAATTTTGCAATTTTGATAGCAAAATTGTAGCTTAATTTAACTATACAAAATTTTTGAAAAATTAAATTGTGTTCTAGTCCATCCCTCCACGTAGAAAGGCTTATGTTTCCTTACTGTAGGTCCGCTATAAGAGTTGCTCACGCGGGAAATAAGTAGGCGGGGACGGCAAGGCAACAGTATGATTGACGTGGAGCAGAGAATTTCACTTTCCACAGACGACGGGGCTTTCATTTGCCCCACTCGCTAAGGCAGCTTTCTTGAGAAACGAGAATCACAATCAATGCAATGCAATTCCATCTTCTCCTTCCACTTTTTCTATGCATGACAGAATTTTCCTCGTATATATGTATATTGATCGTAGATAATGTATATACACATGTATGGCTCTTTTCTATACTTCATCTTCCAATTAATAGTAATATATATGTCTATTTCTAATTATTTTTATATAATACATAATAATTCTATTTTGCAAGAAGTATACAAAAAACAATGTCTTTTTGCGAATCTGTTAAGTAATAATAATAACATTTTGAATCCAATGATAATCGGTTTCTAAAACTATAAACTATGTAAATATATAATCTCTTCTTTTCTTTTCATCAACCCCCCCATCCCATTTTTTTTATGAGCCAGATTCAAAAACATATAAACTATGAAAAAAAAAATTTTTTTTTTAAATGGATAGAACAACAGACGAAAGCAATTAAAAAAGAAGCAAATTATTATAGGTTCGTTAAATGAATTTTGTTATCTACAAATTGGAAACCCATGCAATGGGGGCAAATATTTTGTCAACAACTCAAACCCATACAATGGGGAAAAACATTAATTCACATAAAAGCACACACAACTCTTGAAACTTAAGGGATCAATGTCCAATATATAATTATATACATGTCCTAAAGCAAAATCCAACACTAGAAAAAGCCCTACTAAAACATTCTAACTACAAAAGCACTGTATATATATTACACACATCAAGCTTTCTAGCTATAACCAACACATTTAATCACAATTTCCTTGTTGGTTACTTAAAAGTTAGATAGCAAAGAGATGATGTATCCATGCTGTTTCCTCTGCAATTGAACACTCTTTACTGAGTTGATTAAGTGCACTTGAGATTATGTATGTCTAATTAAGTGTGTATGTGTGTGTTTTTGTTGTATATATATATATATAGAGGAAGAGAGGAAAATAAATTAATTGAAGGTCTTAATTACCACTTACCAAAGATTAGCCAAATATAATTTAGAAGACAGGAATGAATTTGCTATTTCCACTTCTCATCATCTTCTTAAACTCATCAAAATTAACCATTCCATCACCATCCATATCAACTTGTCTAATCATTTCCTTACAATCTTCAACCTTTGTTCCTTCTTTTAATCCCAAAGAACATAATACTGATCCAAGCTCTTCCCCTGATATTCGCCCGTCCTTATTTCTATCAAAAACATCAAAAGCTTCTTTCAAAATTATTTCTACAGCATTATCTCCTTCATCTTCTACACTTCTTGTAACTCCTTCACCACCAACTATGGACTCACACAAGAAACAGAACTCTTCATAGTCTATGAACCCATCTCCATTAGAATCCACTTTCGCTACCATTTCTTCAATTTCTTTTTCTGTCATGAAAATTTTTATGTTCTTTAAAGAATCTCTTAGCTCTTGCTTTGTTATAAATCCATCTCCATTTTTATCGAAGGTAGCAAATACACTCTTTAGGTCTTCTTTCGCCATATCAGAACTATTATTATCACAAGTGCTTCTCTCTTTGTAAGGAGTGACTTTTGCAGTAGATAAAGAAGAAGAAGAAGAAGAAGAAGAAGAAGAATTCATTTTAAGAAAGAAAGATTGGAGCCATGCATAGAGTTTCTTGGGAGGTAGATAGAAGTAAAGATTGAGAAGGCCGGCCAAGAACAAGAATAGTAGTAAGAATATGGCTATTAATGCCATTTTGTTGTTCTTGAAAATCTTGATTGTTAAATGGTAACAAAACAGAAAACAGAGAAGGAGAAGAGCAAAGGACAAAGAGAGATTTTCCAGATTTTTAAACGAGTTGAAAGGGATTGAAGAAGTTACGCGTGTTTGGTTACTTTGTGGTCCCACAAACCGCGTGAAATATTTATTTATTATAGGGAAATAATTAATTCCTCTGTTGACCAAACTAACTAATTCAGCATTATGCGAATATTAATTAATATCTCTGTTAAATTATTTGATTCTCCCGTTTATTTTCTCTTGATTTTTCTGTTAAATTTTTGAAAAAAATTAACATGCCTTGAAACTTAAAAAAGGTAAATAATTAATTCGTCCCTAAAGTATAAGAAGAAAAAAAACATCGACTATTTGATATTCACCTAAAAAAAATATTTAAGAAGAAAAAAAATTAAACTAACCTAGGTTAGAATTTCCATTTATCATGGAGGAAAAATGAAGAGTCGGTGTATACATTGATTATTTGATATTCACCTAATAGGTATTTAATTTAATATATCAATATTCAAGAGAAAAAATTATTTTATATATTCTATTACAAAGTAGATCTAATGAAATAAAGGTAAGACTATAGGAATCGTAAAAATATTCCTAGGTTAGTTTAGTCTTTTTTTTTTTAGGTGTAATGATATTTTAGAATTTTTTTAAGATTTTAATGGAAAAAAAAAAACATCAGAATGACTAAATAGTTTGACGGAGGTAAACTTCAGAGATCATTAATTAATATTGTTAAACTGCAGGAATGACTTAATTAATTTGATCAAACCTCATAGATGAATTAATTATTTTCCATTCTTATGTGTTATGATATTTTAGTCTTTTTTTTTAGTTTTAAAGCAAAAATCTGAGAAAATCGACAAAAGGACAAGTGATTTGACGGAGATAAATTATAAGGACCATTAATTAATATTGCCAAACTGCAGATTCGCTACCCCATTTTTCTTGCTCAACATTTCTTGGTTCTTCTCTGTCATGAAATATTCTCTCTGATGATTTGCTTTACAAAGGATCTTCTTAGCCTCTTGCTATTTGGTGTATTTCAATCCATCTTCCCATATTTTTTATTCGAAGTGGTAGCGAAATACACATTGTTAGTGCTTTCCTGTTCTCATAGTATCAAACTATTGGTATTATCACAAGTGCTCTTTTCTCTTCTATTGGGTGAAGGGAGTGACTTTTGCAGTAGATTAAAGAAGAAGAGAAGAAGAGAGAACGAAGAAGAATTCATTTTACGGGAAAGGAAAAGATTGGAAGCTATGCATAGAGAGTTTTTCTTGGGAGTATTAGATAGACCAGTTAAAGTGAGACAAGGCCGGGCCAAGAACAGAATAGTAGGTAGGAATATGGGCTCGCCTAATTAATGCCCTTTTTCTATCTCTTATGTAGAATCTTGATTGTCATAATATGGGTAGACAAAACAGGATATGCCAAAGACATGACACGAGGAGATAGCGAAAAGGAGCTAATAGGATGACGAAAAAAGAGGTACTCTCTCTCCAGATTTATTTAAAGAATCGCCGCACAGTTGCAAGTGCGCATTGAGGAAAGTTAACGGCGGTGTTTGGTTATACTTTGTGCGGTCCACAAACAGTTTCGGCCTCAGCTCGCTGAAAAATTATTTAATTTTCTCTCATTTATTATCGTGGTGGTGGCAATTAATTAATTCCTTCTGGTTGATTCCACACAACACACATTATAATTCGATGGACACATTTTTACTATAGCCTTTTATACTCCTGCCGTAAAATAGTCATAATTATATATGAGTAAACTGTGGCACTTATGATAATTATTTAGTTTTCTTCGGCCGGCTATATTTTTCTCTTTTATTTTCTCCTGGTTAGACCTCTCTTTGAAAAAAATTAAACCATGGGCCTGCTCTGATTACCAGCTTGGTAAGAAGGGAAGGTAGAACTACCATTTAAAATCAGATATTCGTCGGCCTACTAAATACACGCTTATATAATGGAAGGGAGGGATCGTATAAGGAAAAAGCACCATGCATCGACTGAAAGCCTATTTTCCTGGTTCTCGTGTCAACGTACCAAAAAGATATATTATATAATGCTTCAATGATACAGAAGCATAATCTAAACTAAAACCTAGGTTAGGGAATTTTCCATTTATCAGAGAGGAAAAATGAAAGAGTCGGTGTATACATTGACTCTATTTGATTTCACCTAATAGGTATTTTAATTTAATATTATCAATATTCAATGAGAAAATAAATTATTTTTATATTCTATTACAAAAGTAGATCTAATGAAATAAAGGTAAGACTATGAGGAAATCGTTAAAATATTCCTAGGTTAGTTTTAGGTCTTTTTTTTTTAGGTGTAATGTATTTAGACATTTTTTTCCGGAATGGCTTGTCACACCTGTGAGTGGCAATAACATAAAACTAGAGTGACATCAATGGAATATTTGACTTAAAGTTTAGTTTGAGGCTGCTGGTGATATGGTGAGTCTTGCCAAATACGACGTTATCATTAATTAATTAGTTGATTAAACTGCCAAGGGGTAATATGGCACTACTTTAATCTTAAAATTGGAGATCTTGCAACATACATCCAATAGTGCTTCTGATATAATTTAAAGTGATATTTTTCGCAAACATCTACTATTTAGTGTATAGTATAGTATATATTTTTAGTCTATTTTGGTCTTTGGACGCGCTATTATAATCGCAAAAATCTGAGGAAAATCGCAAAAGGACAAGTGATTTGACGGAATAGAGATTGCTCACTTCATAGGCCGGACAATATAAATAGTACAATATATGTTTCAAACGTGCCAGATGATTTAGGATTAACGCACTAATATCATAATTTCATGTGTGTTGTCCTTTTACTGTCAATAACTTATGCTATCATGTCCATCATTTTATTTGTGATTTGAGAAAGCTCGTGTGTTCTTGCGTTTTCAGTAAGCGAATAGACTACTGTTATCATGAATTAATTATTTTCCATTCTTATGTGTTATGATATTTTAGTCTTTTTTTTTAGTTTTAAAGCAAAAATCTGAGAAAATCGACAAAAGGACAAGTGATTTGACGGAGATAAATTATAAGGACCATTAATTAATATTGCCAAACTGCAGAGATAACGAATTAATTATTTTGCCTTTATTATAACTACTATTATCATTTATGTGATATTGAAAGCTCGTGTTTTTGGTTCGTAAGCGAGACACGTGTCCAGTTTTATTGGGTTGAATTGTGTTTAAATTCATGAAATGGATAACTTCATAATTAAAAAAAAGAAATTTACTTTAAATTACTTGTATTATTCTTTGCTAATTGTTTTTTCTGTTGTTTTGATTCCTTAGTGTGTTGTATATTAATCATCTCGAAAAGGAGAAAAAAAACAAAACAAAAAACATTCTATTTTTTAGCTCTTAACATTAATCTCTTCTTAGATTTCAATATATACACACACATGCGATCACAATTATTATATTTATTCAATATTTGAGATTTTTTGAAATAAAATTTCAAATTTATAGATGCTATTTAAAAAATACGCAAATGCGATATGTTCAATGCGACATTCTCTAGGTTGGTTGGATAATAATTTGGTGCACCGGAGAATTAATGATATGAAAAGAGACAAATTGACTAATGTGATTCCAAACTCCCATACAAATTTTGCTGTGCTTCTGGAACAAGTAAATGATGTAAAATGTTGCTAATGCTGACTCCACCATGTCCAAATCAAATGCCAACCACTCTCTCTCTCTCTATTACTTTGATTGTCACTCAACCACGCAATACACACGCAGGCCATTGCCATTGATGCTTGTATATATCCTACTTCAACTCGAAAGAATATATATATATACACACATGCCTGATCCCTTACCGCTCAAAGAGTTTCTTAAAGATAATAAAATTAAAATTTAGGGTTTATAGTATATTAATTTAAGGTTCATGTTCTATGATTTAAGATTAATGTATAAAGTTTAATGTAATTTTATTATTTTAAGGATTCCCGTATAGAGAGAGAGAGGGGAACCAATTAATTATGTTCATCTGTTGTTTGTGGTGTACTCAATTACCATTTAGCTTTGCTTTTACTTAATTTGTCTAACCACGAACGTGACTGATCAAGACTGAACTTGCCAATTCATCTAAAGGAAAGAGAGTTGACAAGGTGACATAAAAAAAAGACTTGGAGGTTCTTTTTTTTAAAAAAAAAAAAAAAAAAAATAATAATCCTATCTTTAGCCTTATAGGCATATATACTTGTAGAGTTTGTCAAGTACATACCCGTAAATCATACTTGATACCGTGTCGCGTGATTGCACAAGAATACTGTAATCTTGGCCAAGACTTCTCATCTAAGGGAAGAGGTGGAGTGAACTTCTGGGGCCCATAAATCGGTAGGTATACCCCTTTTGGGTCCTAGTAGCCCTGAGGTGAATGCGCTCACACAAAAAAGACTGTTGTGCACGGTGTCTGTTTTTTTTTTTCCTTAGAAAATAACATTAACTATAGAAATAAAAACAGGAGACGTGACCGACCTTGGGAGGTCCTTCCTGGAGACGCAAACAGACACCCTAAACAGTGGTACTCAAATACAATAAATTTTTTTTAAAAAAAAAAAAAAAAAAAAAGGACGACTTGGAGGTCCTCTTGGACCAAAAAATAGTAACAAATAAAATAAAATAGAAGACTTCAATTGGAGGTGGTTTGATGCAGTATATTATCTTATACAAAGAAATAACATTCTTATAAAAACAAAATAATAGATAGCATCCAAAAATGAAAATTTAATAATTAAATAAATTCTTTAAAAATTTTAGAAAAGATAAATTAATTATTAAATAATACTAGTAAATCAATATATTTTATTATTTTTATTTTTCAATATTAATTAAAGGACAGATCAAACTTTAAAAAAAAAAAATCAAAAATCAAAAATCAAATATTTTGAATCTCAAAACTTCAACTTCAACCAATAAGGTACGTATTGGTTGGAATAAAAAAGAGAGAGTCTGGTTCGCAAGGGGGCACACGTTTTGTCAGCATCGGATGCTTAGCTTAAGGC